ACACCGTGGTGGCGACTGGAACCAACATGGATACTATGGATGGGGATATAGATGATAAATCGATATGACCTCTGCATAGGTCCTGATTGAACCTGGCGAAGCGTGGCAGCAATCATCGCTCGAGATTTACCTCTACTTCATTTCGAATGATTTCTGAGAGGACTCTGAGCCGGCTAATTTAGAACCACATTTTTTTGAATATCATTGCACGAGACGCTGAGTTTCTACAGCGGTCTACATCTCAACCGACGAAGGAACGGGAAGGTAAACTTCTAGTTCCATAGTCATGTTTGTAGTTGGATTTTTTTTAATTCGCATGCTTGAGTGGGATTCCATGCTGGCTACGCCACATCGGATGAACCTCAATGCTGTACACCGACTACGTCGTGTCAGCATGCACGTGAACAGAACCTTTTTTTGGCAGAGATCGTAGCAAGCCGCCATGTAGATTTGAAGTTCTGAACGGACTTTAGCTCTCCATAATTCAACAAATGAATAGCTGCAGATGCATTGGAACGATTTAAGGGACACTCCTTTGCGCGTGGCCAACAAAGTTGGCCATGCGTGGGGGGTGCGAATGGGATGTAGACTACAGCGTTATACATACTCCCATGTAAATATTCCCTTAATCATCCATGACCAAAGGGATGCATGAAATGCCCCTTTGGCTCAAGACAACTGCCAGCCCCGTGAGAAAATAAAGCAATGCCGAAACTGCCGCTCCTTCGTTGTCGTCAGTGAGAGAACAACTACATTCTCGAACATCCAAGAACACATAATCGGGGAGATAACCTCCGATTCACAATCTATCTATCTATCTATCTATCTATCTATCTATCTATCTATCTATCTATCTATCTATCTATCTATCATTATCTATCTATCTATCATTATCTATCTATCTATCATTATCTATCTATCTATCATTATCTATCTATCTATCATTATCTATCTATCTATCATTATCTATCTATCTATCAATCATTATCTATCTATCAATCTATCATTATCTATCTATCAATCTATCATTATCTATCTATCAATCTATCATTATCTATCTATCAATCTATCATTATCTATCTATCATTATCTATCTATCTATCATTATCTATCTATCTATCATTATCTATCTATCTATCATTATCTATCTATCTATCATTATCTATCTATCTATCATTATCTATCAATCTATCATTATCTATCTATCAATCTATCATTATCTATCTATCATTATCTATCTATCTATCTATCTATCTATCTATCTATCTATCTATCTATCTATCTATCTATCTATCTATCTATCTATCTATCTATCTATCTATCTACTAATCTACTAATCTACTAATCTACTAATCTACTAATCTACTAATCTACTAATCTACTAATCTACTAATCTACTAATCTACTAATCTATCTATCTATCTATCTAATCTATCTATCTATCTATCTATCTATCTATCTATCTATCTATCTATCTATCTATCTATCTATCTATCTATCTATCTATCTATCTATCTATCTATCTATCTATCTATCTATCTATCTATCTATCTATCTATCTATCTATCTATCTAATCTATCTAATCTATCTAATCTATCTAATCTATCTAATCTATCTAATCTATCTAATCTATCTAATCTATCTAATCTATCTAATCTATCTAATCTATCTAATCTATCTAATCTATCTAATCTATCTAATCTATCTAATCTATCTAATCTATCTAATCTATCTAATCTATCTAATCTATCTAATCTATCTAATCTATCTAATCTATCTAATCTATCTAATCTATCTATCTATCTAATCTATCTAATCTATCTAATCTATCTAATCTATCTAATCTATCTAATCTATCTAATCTATCTAATCTATCTAATCTATCTAATCTATCTAATCTATCTAATCTATCTAATCTATCTAATCTATCTAATCTATCTAATCTATCTAATCTATCTAATCTATCTATTCTATCTAATCTATCTATTCTATCTATTCTATCTATTCTATCTATTCTATCTATTCTATCTATTCTATCTATTCTATCTATTCTATCTATCTATCTATCTATCTATCTATCTATCTTATCTACTAATCTATCTATCTTATCTACTAATCTATCTATCTTATCTACTAATCTATCTATCTTATCTATCTTGTCTATCTTATCTACTAATCTACTAATCTACTAATCTACTAATCTACTAATCTATCTATCTATCTATCTATCTATCTATCTATCTATCTATCTATCTATCTATCTACACATGAATTTAAACAATAATTGGTTAGGTAGTAACTATAGAAACACATGAGCCATGAACATCCAGGCTCGATCATTCAGCTTGCGGGTTCGTGTGCCATTGATGCCGCTCTGCACTTTCTGCGAGTGCTACAGCTGGAACGAAGCTCGGAGGCAAAATGGAAGGTGACCACCAAATAATAGTTGAACTAACTAACAATAGTTGAGTTGACTATGTAACATTCACTAATACTGATACTAGCTAACATTATCTCATATATGATAGTTGGAAGGTAACTATATAATTATGAAAATGAACTAATCATGCTTGATTATACATTAACCATCCATTAACAATCCTGGTATTTCTTATTATGATCTACATATTCTTGTGTTAACCAAATGCCATTCTTTGGTCTGACGCTTCAAAATGAGGGTTCCGCAAGAATGGGTTGGACCAGCAAAATTGTGAATTTGACCTGCGAAAATTGGCAACCAAACATTGGAAGTTTGGATGCTTTCTACTAGAGCAATGCCCCCCAAATCTGCAGGTTTTGAGGTCTCAAGGAACTCAGAGCCACCTCTCGAAGAGTTGGAGGTTATAGTAACAGTGACCTTGATGTCGAGTCAGGCAGCGTGATGGGATGGTACAACGGCATGATAGTGGTGTACGCTGCTGTAAGGTATGCAGTGTTTTCTCCCTTCAGTTGAGGATGGTTAGCTAGGAAACCCGAAACTTTTTGTCAGGTTTTAAGCCATCTGGAGCTAAGGTTTGCTCGTCCAAACATGCGGAAGATAGAATGAACACCAAAGAAATGTTTTGCCTTGCGGACCGGGATGTTTTTTTTGTTATCCCATGCTTGGCTACATGGCTGTACTTGGAAAATAAGATCTTCTAGAAGCCACAGGGAAAGATCCCACAGCTTGAGAGATGGGTATTTCTGCAATATACAATGTGTGTATATTCTACAATATTATTATATAATTACAATATAATATCAATATATACAATACATCTAATTATATACACATTATATATAGATGTCTAAGTTGAATTGAAATCTATCATCAAATGGCCGATATTGAGAGTATCATAGGGTATCATTCAAGTGGACAGGGGCTAAAGGATACAGAAGGAGCATCCCAGGCGCGTACCGCCTGGCTTTGTGGCTGAGGAAGTGTTGACTATGACTTGCAGTCAATTGTGGCTTGGACAACCAACCCCTGCTGTTGTTGATCTCATTCAGAGTTTGGAACCTTAATGTTCACCTATGATTTATCAATAGGGGGCCCCCCCCCCCTCTCTGACCGTAAATAAACTTAAGGCCACCATAAAACTTGTTTGTATGTAAAGGTTTTAAATTACCACAATTGAAAACGAATACATAAAATGCAATTTCAAAAAAAAAAGGAATCCAGCAATTGTTTTAGTATTGATCTAGTACTCATGTCATGGATTTAGTATTGATTTAGTATTCATTTCATGGATTTAGTATTGATTTAGTATTCATTTCATGGATTTAGTATTGATTTAGTATTCATTTCATGGATTTAGTATTGATTTAGTATTCATGTCATGGATTTAGTATTGATCTCGTATTCATGTCATGGATTCAGTATTGATCTAGTATTCATATCATGAATTTAGTATTGATTTAGTATTCATGTCATGGATTTAGTATTGATCTCGTATTCATGTCATGGATTTAGTATTGATCTCGTCATTCATGGATTCATCTAGTATTCATATCATGATTTAGTATTGATTTAGTATTCATGTCATGGATCTGGGCAAATCTGGGTTTAGGGCCAAAAACAATTAGCTTTATTCAGGGTCAAACTCTAATTAGTGACAAGGCACCTCATGGGGGGTACCCTTGACGAGTTGATTTGGGATTGATTTTGGATAATTTTGAATAAAGGTTTTGAATAGAAAAGAGCAACCATTATTTTTGAAAATTTGAAGTTATCAAGGTAAGATCTAATGAGCTGGCAATATGAATTAGTACATGAAAGCCACCTCAAATAAAGCATGGAAAAAACAAAATCAGCCCCATCTGGGCAAATCTGGGTTTAGGGCCAAAAACAATTAGCTTTATTCAGGGTCAAACTCTAATTAGTGCCAAGGCACCTCATGGGGGGTACCCTTGACGAGTTGATTTGGGATTGATTTTGGATAATTTTGAATAAAGGTTTTGAATAGAAAAGAGCAACCATTATTTTTGAAAATTTGAAGTTATCAAGGTAAGATCTAATGAGCTAACAATATGAATTAGTACATGAAAGCCACCTCAAATAAAGCATGGAAAAATTCTTTTTCAGCCCCATCTGGGCAAATCTTTTAGGGCCAAAAAAATTTAGCATTATTTAGGGGGCATTTATTATTTATTTTGGGAAAAATTTAGCATTATTCAGGGGGCATTGATAAATCGTAGGTCAACATTAAGATACCTGAAGTTTCGGGTGCCAAACTCATGACATGTTACGACCCCAAACACCAACCTTGAAACAACGAGGCTTTTCTGGTGTCAATCACTTGCTATGTGGCCATCTTTTGCTTCTTCGAGTCAACACGGAGGAAGAGGCCTCGCGGTCGCAGAACCAGCTTGGAGTGGTGATTGCAACACTGCAGATCATTCTGCCTTCAAAAACATCCGAGAACGTTCCAACAACAAAACAGACTAAAGCAGACGGTGGTTGGGTGCTCATCCATCCAGTTTTTGAGTCAGCCACCCTTCAGTGGATTCATTCAGCTGAGGTCCAAGATAGTTGAGCAAGGCATGCAGGACTTGTCGGACAAGGTTCTCACAGAGGCGGCGACCTGGGGCACACAAAAAGTGGCCATGTTAAATCCGAGGATACATGAAAAGTTGCAGCTGTCAGATTATAATCATTCCATATTATCTGAGTAGGGCCCTTGAACCAATCAATTGATGATGTTCCTGGGAAACTGACAGAACAGCCACTTGCAAACCAGGCGATGAGGTGGATCGTGGGCGATCTTTATCTCGCATTCTACACGGTCTTAAAACTACAGCAAATCCATCATAGCTGCAGATAGATGCACAACGATGCGGACACATTCCGTGATGCCTGGAACTTCTCAAAGCGTCATGCCTGGACAGGTATTTACTTCCTGGGTATTGCTAGCTGCTTGGTGCGATGTGTCCAGCTGGGTTTATCAATGGGATCAATGAGGGATAGCCGGATAACCCATATCCATGCATTGAGATACCAGACATCTGCAGGAAACATGCGGATTTTCACCAGCAACATGCTGAATTCCCAGTGCCAATTGACACATCCGCCCTTCACTGAGGATGAACACCTCCATTTTCAGAGATCGCTGGCGGATACCAAGCCCAAGCGTATTCGCAGTTCGGTCGATCCAGTGACCCAGCTGCAGGTTGATGATGTTTGCAACTGAAAAAGAATGTGATGAACCTTTGGAGCATATTAAATGCAATATAATATAATATAATATAATATAATGCAATATTGTTTCATATTGTTTCCAGGTTTCACACTTTTCACGCTCATGGGGCTGAGGCTGACTCCATTTGCTCAACTAGGACAGGTCAAATCCTGCTAAACTACAGTAACTACAGTGACAGTCGCTGCCGCAGGTACTTGGCCTCCTGACCAATTGCATGAAAGCTGAGTCCCTCGCAGCCAGTCAGCTCCGCGAGGCGACCGGGAGTGAAATTGGAATTGAACACCTCCGGAGAAAAAAAAACCAAACATCAAAACAAAAACACACATATTTCCAGACTCTTGACTGGGACATATATATATATATATGTATATATATATATACATACATACATATGTGTATATATATATAGTTTGTTTGTCTCGTTTTTCTGCACCTGGCCACCCAAAAATGATCCTCTTTCAAACCAACCAAAAGCAAGAAAAAAACTCTTGTTTTTTCCCCGAGGTTTTCACCAATGTCTAATTCATACCTTCTTTGGAGTTGTCAGACAATCCCTCAGAGCGCAGTTCACCGGTTCACCTTAAATGGTGTGCTGCCTTAAATGGTGTGCAGTATTGCCTGAATGGTATGCAACATGAAACTCTCTGGGAACCCCGAGAAACTGCACTCTTAGGGCGTGCCATTCTGTTTATTCTATTATATTATGCTATTTGAACTTGTAATATCTTTACGCTATGTATACATTATAGTTATATGCTATATTATATGTTTTTATGCCTCTCTCCCTCTCTCTCTCTCTCTCTCTCGCTCTCTAGATGTAATAACCATCATCCACATGCATAAGATAATCACGATGTATATTTGTATATATATATATACATAACATACACATAATACAGTATAACATAACATAACATAACATAACATTGCATTGCACCTTACCTTACCTTTACCTTACCTTTTCCTTACCTTTTCCTTACCTTTCCTTACCTTGCCTTACCTTACATTACAGTACATACATCACACACACACACACATATATATATATAAACATACATTCATAATCATGCTGAAGACATCTTGTGGCTGGATTGAAAGTAGCAATGCGGCCGTGGAGATTTTGCCGCTCCAGGCATTTCAAAGCGCGCAGAAGAACCCTTCGAAGGCCACGCGTTTTGACACGTCGCTGTGCCTGCCAGGCCAGGATGATCCAGGATGCGCGGGAAATGAACCACACAATATTGGATATGATGGAGCTTGGTAGATAAATCAATGACCAAGTTACAGATTTTTGGAACCTAAACTTTGGAGATGGTCTTGAAAGCTTGAAATCCTGACGTGTATTTTCATGGCCTTTTGTCTTCGAAGGACCTGTTCCTATATCTCTATCTCTACCTCCGTGTCCTTCTCTACCTTTCTCTTTTGACCTACATCTATCTCTATCTCTATCTCCATCTCTATCTCTATCTCTATCTTTACCTAATTACCTAATTTATCTAATTTATCCAATCTATCTAATCTATCTAATCTAATCTATCTAATCTAATCTAATCTAATCTAATCTAATCTAATCTATCTAATCTAATCTAATCTATCTAGTCTAATCTAACCTAATCCAATCTAATCTAATCTCATCCAATCCAATCCAATCCAATCCAATCCAATCCAATCCAATCTAATCTATCTATTCTAATCAATCAATGAATCTATCAATCTTCTATCTATCTATCTATCTAATCTAATCTAATCTAATCTAATCCTATCCTATGCTATGCTATGCTATGCTATCCTATCCTATCTTATCTACCTAATCTATTCTATTCTATTCTATTCTAATTCTATTCTATTCTATTCTAATCTAATCTAATCTAATCTATCTAATCTATCTAATCTATCTAATCTATCTAATCTATCTAATCCATCTAATCTATCTAATCTATCTAATCTATCGAATCTATCTAATCTGTCTAATCTAATCTAATCTAATCTAATCCAATCTAATCTAATCTAATCTAATCTATTCTATCTACCTATCTACCTACCTATCTATCTATCCATCCATCCATCCATGTATCCATGTATCCATGTATCCATGTATCCATGTATCCATGTATCCATCCATCGATCTATTCATCTATCCATCTATCCATCTATCCTTCTCTCATATCATCTTATCTTATCTTATCTTATCATATCTTATCTTATCTTATCTTATCTTATCTTATCTTATCTTATCTATCTAAACGAGAAAGCGACGCATCGCCCGGGAAGGCAAAGTTGAAGAGTACTGGGAATGGACCTGTCCAGATTTTGGTGAATAGTCCTGCTCAGCAAGTCTCCTAACTTTGGGGTAGCATGTTGTACTGGCATTTTCTACGATTTGCGGAATTCATTGGCGACCGCAATAAAAATATGCCAAAAACAATGCTCGTGATGTGACTTCAGCGGCGTGATGTGCCTATGTGAGTTAAGTCGACACCCTAGTAGCTATGGTCATTGGATGCGATTCCTGGCACAGGACGTGAGGAGCAGCACGTTGAGATTCTCATCTTTCGTGCGCAGAGTGGTCCGTTGGCGGCACTTTTTTTGCTTTTTTTGAGAATGGGTTGGGATACTGTTCCGTCAACATTCCCCAGCTTGAATACCTGTGCCTATTGGGTGTTGGAGAATAGGAGTCTTACCTTTGCATTCTGGGACAAATTTCGGATCAACATCCCAAATATTTCTTGTGAACATTGGCATTTGCAATAAATCCAATTTCTGTGGAGGCTTTAAACAACATGTTTGACTGCAAAGCATATCAAAACATGTCCGAGTTGACATCAAAACATCAGCATAGCGTGCCAGGCGTGGATTCAAAGTCGAGGGCTGATGTGGAGGAACCAGGATCCAACAGGCAGCTGATTTGATGCTTCCTCAAAATTGTGTAGGCTAGAAAACGGGATAGATATAGATTTTAAAGCAAACATAGAAATTTAACATGATTTAACAAACTAAAATCAATGGAAATTTAAGAACCGAAAATGGGGATTTAACAAAGTCGCATACACCATTGTGGTTTGTTTGAAAATCGGGTAGTCCCCTAAAGTTCAGTGGCAAATCATCATTATCCACCCCTTTTTGGAACGTGGAAAGTAGAAGGGAATCGCCACATCGTGATGTCAGGTGTGCTTTATGCCCCCAGCTGGAGACCGGACTTCCCAGCTATTTGGTGGCCAAACTGCAATCTGGGCCGTGAAAAACTGATGGATTGGTGTTGTTGGGAAAATCTACTGTTGAAACATGTTGAAACTATCGTTTTTGATCATCTATTCAAAGGGGGTTTCTGTAGATTGTCGCTCCAATTCGGAACGTTTCGTTGCTGACCAGGTTTTCTGTACACTGTAGTCATTTACGATTTTTGCCTCCACCAGCCAGCGAAATGGATGGAAACCACTTGGTTTCCGCCGATCGCCATAGAACTTCGACCAAGGTTGGTATAGTGGCGAAGCCGCCTCCAGTCAGCGTCCCTCGTCTGGGCTTCTGGCAATTGACCAGCCATTTGTGGTAGCATATGGATCAACAAAAATATTAGTAGGATCCAAACGAAATCATTATCAGGATCAAAAAACATATTCCTAGACAGGAAAGAAGGAAGGAGTGAAGAAAACAAGAGGAAGAGAAAGAAGGGAAGGAAGGAAACCAGCAAGATGTAGCCGAACGCCATGGAGGGAGGATGGTGGTAGGTCCAACAGAAGGGCTCGCAGAAACAAGTGCAGATCTCCAAAAATATGCGTAGGTCTAGAAAGAGGGCACATGCATCAAAAATATCTAGTGAGGACAGCAAAAATGGCTACCCATACGCATCCGGAACAATATGGGTTTGGGACCAAGGTTTGATCCCTTGGAAACACGCTCTATCATGTTCTATCCCCATTTCCCTGTAGCAACTCTTTTTGATCCCTTACCCATGCCATTGGTGGTCCCATGGGCGCACTACGAGCTTCCTTTGCTAAGCGTGTCTACTAATAGCGTATAGCTCGGACAACTTCTACGTGGTGCGCGCACGGCGTGAGCAGTGCGGTGCAGCACAGGGGTCATGCCGACAGAGTCGGGTCTCCAGACAACTTGCTTTACGCACACCTCAAGGGCTGCCAAAAGAGTTTGCCTTCGACAGCCTTCCATGAATACGCCACAAGCTGTGTGGGCAATCGTTAACAATGTGGCCGGAAGCGGCTTGACTCCAATTGCTTTAAAAGCCGCTTGAAAATCAAAAAGGTCCAAACTAGACTGGTGCTAGCCAAAGACCGAAATTATGGAACATGAAAGGAAAAGCGCGCCAACATTCAGTCAGTGTGCCCCTGGTGGCTCAAGCAAGACATGGGCAAAGTCCTTTATTCCAACGTAGCTCAACTGAGATCTTGTGCTCACAGCACCATGCACAGAGTGTTGATGAAACATGCATGAGCAGTGGCAGGCAGTGGCGAGCAAAGTTGTGCAGTTCGGACAGGGTGCTTGTTGGAAGCCAACCACATCAGCCATACAATTGTCTTCCATGTCTTGTGGCCGATGAGAAGTCAGGAACGACAAGGCCCTGCCCACAAATGGTTGAACAACAAAGTTGTGCGCGAAGTGCTGTCCACCCACGCTCACACAGCTAAGCCACCACCGAGAAGCCATCACCCTTGAGGACAAGTCCTGGCAACAGGGTAGCCCAAAAAGCGGCAATGCTGACAGCAGGATTCAAATGTAGCAGCTACAAGGTTGTCCTTTTCGACTCGTGTGTGGCACACTCTGTGCCCAGGTGTCTGCAGAGGTCTCGTCCAAATCAAGTTCTGCTCGCGTCCACCAAGCATTGGAGCCTGCAGTTGATGTGAAGTTGTTCAGACAACTGCTGACGAGAGCAACGTAGACAGCGCTCAACAAATCCCGCAAGGCTCACTATCACGATGAACGATCATAATCAAGACCCCAGAGTAGATGCCCCTCAGAAAGTGGAGGGCCAAAGAGTAGGTCAAATCCATTCAGGGAAGTTTCATTGTCCCATGTCTGTTGATATTTTCCCTCCTGCTAAATCAATGTAGCCTGCTTGGACAGAAGGCTAATGTTTTGTAGTATTTGAATGTGTGATCTGTTTTTTTTCTGATTCCTGCTTGGTTGCTTTGCTTTTTGGCTTTAGACTTTAGTCCCGCTTTGTTTGCGCTGTCACCATGCCCCCCCAGCGAGCTGGATGTAACCAACGGAGTAGGCTCACCACAAGTTGATAAAATCATAAGCAGGGACAAGAGCAAAATCACAACGAACCAAAAAACAGCAGCTGCGAGAGTCAGAACCAACAACGCCAGCAGCAGCAACAGCAACAACAACAACAACAACAACGACCACTAGAACCAAAAAGACACCGACAGAGACAACCACAACGGCAACGACGACAACGACAACGACGAAGGGGACGACGACGACAACGACAACAACAAAATTGGCAACAATATGACAATATCAAAGTAGCAGTATCAAGGATAGTAATGATGCAAACAGTTGTACTCGTAGCAGTAATAACAACCCAAACTATCAACAACAGCAAGTGTAGCAACCAAAGTAACAAAAATGAACTCTGGTGCAAGGCATCCTTCCAACCGTGTTGCGTGGAGGTTGAGTCAAAAAAGGGTTCCAAATTCAGCCCACAAAACAAACCAAAAAATATGTTTTTCAGGATTGATTTATTGTATATGTACAGGAAAAACTCTCATATTTGGGTCACAACTCAGAACTTTATTATTATTCGCTGGGAAAATGAATCCGGTTATCCCTGTCCCCATTCTTATTGGTTAAATCCCCATTCTGTTGATTGTTTCCCAGTATTGTTGTTCATAACCCAATTTAGTCTGATTCGCACTATTAAACCATTGTTGGCATGTTCGATATTCTTGTTGACATCATACCCCATGATACCAACAGTATATTGCCCCACTATTCTAACTATTTGGACAAATTATAACGACGGTCCCAAACAGCCTTGTTTCAGGTTGGTGAATTGTTGTCGTTTATCCAGAATCATGCGGCGGAAAACATCCCATCATATCCCAAAACATCCCCAGTAGATTGAAACTAGATATGCCATTGGTATACCACAATTTGGGATGTTAAATTGACAAATGGTCAGAACATGGGATGGTAAATCCTACTGGGTTTACAACATGCCATCAAATGTCACACCAAATAGGTTTTTTTCCCATCATGGGGGATCAATAGCTGGATGGTTTAGAGTGGAAAATCCTATAAAAATGGATGATTTAGGGGTACCCCCATTTTAGAAAACCTCCATATTGGTAATATGCAGATCCTTTATCCCTCAACCCCCCAGGAACCTTCTATCCGGCCAGCCTCGCAGCGGGTCGATAGCTTGGCAGTGAGCGAGTCTCGGTGTGGGTGATGACCTTGAGATAAATCCCTAGCAATTGTGATTTAAGTGATTTAAGCAACAGGGAGTTAAACAACAAACATTGGGGGGTTTGGAGTTTAGTGGAGTTTGGTTTGTTCACAAACAAAGGAGGGTTTATCCACAATATATGGACAAAACATGGGGAAGTGAGGTTTCATAAAGCACGGGATTTTGGGGTAGGTACCCAATTTTCAGACACCCATTTTTTGATGAAAAACAGTGGGTCCAATGTTCAGATTGTTTTGAGGTTATGTGTCGTTTTAGAAGAAAAATGTACGTCGTTTCCATCCAATTTCACTAAGAATATCCAGCAGTGTATAACCCCATCTACAAAGATACCCCTGTGACGTGTAGTCTTGATAGTTACTAGCATTCCGTACTGTTAAATGCCCCCTCGAAATGGTCTCCCAAAATGAATCTACGTACAGTATAGATCGAACTCCAACAATACAACTGAGCTTCGTTTAGGGAGGATATTTGACGATGAACCATGATTAACGATACTGCACAAAAAAATGATCAGTTGCCACATTCTCAACCGTTCCGTTCGCATTCTCAAGCATCAGCAAGACAGTAATTGATCATTCAACTTCCATGATAAATGGGATATATATATATATCCTCCATTATGGGGGTATCTATATATTTAACCCCCACTACACACGTATATATATATATATATATCTATCCATATGGGAGGGGAGGAGTTTTTTTTTACGTCAAGACGTTCGCCCAGGAGTTATCGGGCGGCTCTGCTGACGCCAGTGTGTTATCGGGCGCCGCGCGAGATCGGCGACTGCTAGGTGGGCGAAGATGGTAGGCTTCCTGAAATGGGGGTACCCCCAAATCATGAATTTTAATAGGATTTTCCATTGTAAACCATCCAGCTATTGGGGTACCACCATTTTAGGAAACCTCCATATATATATATATATAATGGATTATAGTGAATTAGATATTGGGACAAATTGACAAGGAGTTAGTTACCTATCATACAAGGTGGGGCTCCCAGGTATGTTTGTTGGGTTATGACCCATCTAGCTGGTTCAATATATTCCCCGCAAACCCTAATTATTGCAGTTACACGCCAACTTAGCTAGGGCACCACGTTGTAGAAACCCTATTCTGGTAAAGACCAATCATACTAATCATACTGGGGATATAATGATACGATGGATTTCAATGGGATAAATTTGGCCAAAAAAATGACGTGGAGACATAATGAGGAGATACTGGGAAGGCAGTGGGATGTTTTTCCTGGCGATTTGTCGCGGGGAGCCTTCCCACCAACCCTAGATGATTCGATATTTGGGTCCCAAAATTGAGGCTACCCCGCTGGCAATTTGCTGAAAACATGACAAACCTGGGGCTTCCATAGTTTCAGAGACCAAGTTTCTTGCCCATTAGACATTCCAAGTCTTTGAAGACCAAAAATTGAGAAACTTAAACAAACAGATGGGGCTCTGAGCAGGAGACATGAGGATTTGTTTCCAATAAACCCAAGGATGTCGCTAGGGGAGAACTTCACCAGAAATGAGGAATCCCCAAAGTGGTTTATTTCAGGCTGGTGAAGTATTAGAATTTGCCCTGATTGGATTGAAACAAGAATCTCTCTTACCAAACAAAAATCGTCTGGTATTTGTTTGCAATAGAAATTCATGGAACCAGTGATTCCCACCATGACTACTGACTACTGGAAGGTAGACCAGATGATGTGCAGGCGATAGATCAATGGATGGACAGCTGGGGATGTTTCTTTTCAAACTGAGCATGTTGTGCCATGAGTTTTTTCAGTGTCTTGCTATATACTTTTGAAGTCCAGCAAGGTTGCACCATCAACCAACCAGAGATGACTGGGGCAGGCGAAGATAATCGCAGCAGCAGCATTTTTGATATTCCAGCGGTGCGACAAGACGAGAACACCGGAATCTCAACGGCAGCGAGCCTTTTTGCACAACTGAGCAACTCAGCACTGGCAAGCTGGTACTAGTAAATCAGGGGTAACGTATAGTTTTTTAATGTTTTTTCTATCGATGTGATTTGAATCGAATTTCCCGGTTTATTTGTAGGTTTTCACAGAATTATTCAGTGGTCAGGAGGGAGCTAAGGAGCTGAAGGTATCCAAATTCCCTATTAAATGTGGAGCCAAGGAGCTACTAAGAGTTTCCCACGAGATAGACAAGTGCGGAAATAGGTTTGGGTAATTGCTGAACTGGGTGAAGTGGGTCAAGTGCGGAATGTCAAATGCCTCCGACAAGCAAGGAGACAAGAGCTTTGCGGAGCTGGTGGAATTGGGTCGGCGCGAGCACTGGATCGTCGAGCCGCACCAACTTTGTCGCTTGGAACACGCCACATGTTCTTTTTGACAATGCAAGCATCGTCAAAAAATGTCAAAAATAAGTAAAAAAAGCCTTGACTCTTGAGGAGACTTACTGTAAATTGTCCTTCACTCACTGTGGCTACAGCAACCCAGAAAGATAGACACGTGAAATCCCAATCTAAAACAATGACAATCATTACAATTCTAACGTTTTCTGAATCTCTTTTGGGAGTTACTGTAAATCATTGCAACATATGACAAAGATTATTGCCCCATTCCCAATCCAATAGGATCTTTAGGCCAGGGAAGGGATTGGCATGGCGCTCTAAGGCTTGCTGGAAAACAAGGTTTTAGGTGCGCTGGTTGTCTGGTGTTGAGCTGGAAAGGGGTTGAAAACTGGGATCAAAGGCTGAAGATTCTGGGCTGAAGACTTTTGGGAAATCACGCATGTGTGTGTGTGTGTTGAACATGTACATAGATATATAGACATACACATGGTTGATTATATATATATATATTATATCTATATGGTAATATATTCACATAGATGTACAAATGCCCACAAATGTCAAATCTTGTGGTCACTGACTGGCTCTCTTGGATCATGTGCCAAAATGGCTCCCAAAACGACTGCGACTTGGTCCTGTTTACATGACCAAAATTTGTGGTTCAACATGGGTATCCTCATGACTTGATCCATCCCCATATTAACCCATTGCATTGATCCATTAGAATCCATTAGATCCCGAAACATCGCAGTTTGCTCCAGGTAGTGGGACCTTTGGCACTGTCTTGGGGGGCACTTTCTATGGAGCATCTGTGGTATCTTGGCCGAATAGCGGGTCGAACTTTCCTACAAACGTGCCGGAGATGTCGACAATGATTTTTTTCGTTTTCAAATCGATTAATCCACCTTTTTGGGGAAGCGACTGGACGTGTTTTGTTTTGTATAATTGTGGAATATTGTGGATGCTCCCCCTTGAGCAAAGTCACACTTTCAATGCACCAAACTTGGGATGATCTCTTTGCGGTCGGACAATATCACCCATACCCCGCTGAAATCTTTCCGGCTGTTCTTCGAATCGAATTTCAGATTTTTAGTCAATGGAGTCAGGTGGCTTGAAATATGTGACCCTTGAATTCCTTGACCTTGGGAAGTCCTGGTTGATGATTTTTGGGATGGCCGCAAAATGATAACTGATAGATAACCCAGATAGCCACCTGTCAAAAAGGATTCATGACACGCTTCAGGCGATCAAGATGCCGAACTCTGACAAGAAAGAACAGTTTCTTGGGCACTGAAGAGAAATTTGCCATATTTTTCTGGGACAAGATCCATTGGTGGCAGGAGTTTCTGACAGATCTTTGGTGTGCCAGTTTCTACCTCTGTGACTATCCCTCTTGTGCTTACTGTTTTCAGATGATCGTGTCTTGTGTGGAGTGCAGTCTCAGTGTTTTCTTGTCATCCTGGAATTCTGCGCTCTTGGACCACACTTGCACGCACTAAAAGCTTAAGATATATTTAGTGAAGCAAGATAGGAATCGGGGACACACGTATCCGAATCCCTATCTGAGATGCAATATATATATATATATGCACATATATATATATATATATATATACACAATAATTATATATATATATATCACGAAAGCCAGCCGAAGGCCTGGGCTTGAGTATAGGTATAAGCGAAGCGAAGCGAAGCTAATCTAGGGGGTGTGGGGGGGGGGAGGCCCGAAATCGGTCCGTTTTTGAAAGGTGAGGCCGGAGCCTGGGGGGGGAGAGCTCAAAAACCGACCTGCCGTTTGCCTGGTTTTTTGGGCCCCGAACGAGATGCTCCATTTTGGACACTTGTTGGTGGTTTTCGACGGTTTTCATCGGGTTTCAAACGCCGAAACACTGTAATTTACGGTGTTTTTGTGCGTTTGGCCTGGCAAAAGTACATCTTGCAACATGCTGAAAACTGCGTAAATACCACTGTTTTTGCTAGGTTCTGGCCATAAAACACTGTAAATACCGTGGTTTTTGGTTCCAGGAGCAAAAAACACCGCAAATACCGTGGTTTTGGGCTTGCAAGGCGTCAAACAAACACGGTTTTTACGGAGTTTTTTGCTCCGAGAATGTTCAAAAAACACGAAAACACCACCTATTTGACAATTTTTCGGCTTTACCTTGTTGGTGGTTCTTGACGGTTTTCATCGGGTTTCAAATGCCGAAACGCTGTAATTTACGGTGTTTTTGTGCGTTTGGCCTGGCAAAAGTACGTCTTGCAACATGCTGAAAACTGCGTAAATACCACTGTTTTTGCTAGGTGCTGGCCATAAAACACTGTAAACACCGTGGTTTTTGGTTCCAGGAGCAAAAAGACACCGCAACTACCGTGGTTTTGGGCTTGCGAGGCGTCAAAAAATACGTTTTTTTTTTAAACGGAGTTTTTTGCTCCGAGACTGTTCAAAAAACACGAAAACACCAACTATTTGACCATTTTTCGGCTTTACAAATGAATTGGTAAAAAAAAACATGCCGCAACGTCTCTGTGTGAAGATGTTTCTATGTAAAAGCGTCTCTGTGTAAAAGCGTTTCTCTGTAGATATATCTGTGTGTACAAGGGTCTGTGTGTACAAGCTTCTGTGTGTAAAAGGGTCTCTGTGTAAAAGCTTCTGTGTGTAAAAGCCTCTGTGTGTCAAAGCGTATGTATGTAAAAGTGTTTGTGTGTAAAAGCGTCTGTGTAAAAGGGTCCGTGTGTAAAAAGATTCGTGTTTAAAAGTGTCTGTGTGTAAAAAGGTCTGCGTGTGAAAGCATTTCTGTGTTAAGATGTTTGTGTGTCCAACAGTCTGTGTGCTACTACGACTCTGTGTAAAAGCCTTTCGGTGTAAAGATGTTTGTGTGTAAAAAGGTCTGTATGTAAAAGCCTCTGTGTGTGAAAGCGTATGTGTGTTAAAGTGTTTGTGTGTAAAAGCGCCTGTGTGTAAAAGGGTCTGTGTGCAACATTTTGTGTATGCGTAAAAGGGTCGGTGTGTAGAAAGGTTTCTGTTTAAACGTGTCTGTGTGTAAAAAGGTCTCTGTGTAAAAGCATTTCTGTGTCAAGATGTTTGTTTGTCGAAAGCGTCTGTGTGTAAAGCTGTCCCTGCGTACACGGGTCTGTGTGTAAAAGCGTGTCTGTGTGAAGCTGTTTGTCTGTAAAAGCGTCTCTGTGTCAACGTGTTTCTGTGTAAAGCTCTTGCAAAAGGGTCTGTGTGTAAAAGCATCTGTGTGTCGAAGTAAAAAAGTGTCTGTGTGTAAAAGCGTTTGTGTGTGTAAAAACGTTTGTGTGTAGTCTGCAAGGGTCTGTGTGTAAAAGGGTCTATGTGTTTTTAGCTTCACAATGCTGGGTCATAGCTTCCGTTTGCTTGCTGTTCGTTCTAAAATTGTATATGTAGCCGTTTCCCGTTCTTCCCAAAAGCGAAATGCAATAGCCGGCCGAATAGCCGCCAAATGGCAGAAAATTGCTTCCAACAGGTTTCTGCTCTGGATTTGGCTCCAAAAGGCTCCTGGCCAGGATTTGGCCTAAAACGGCCGTTTCCCCTTGAGCCCAGAAGGCACTTTTCGTTGCCGGCCCGCAAGCCGCGAAAGTCTTAAAAGCTGGCTCCAAAAGGCTTCGGCCAGGATTTGGCTAAAAATGGCCGTTTCCCCTTGATCCCAGAAGGCCCTTTTAGTTGCCGGCCCGCAAGCCGCGAAAGTCCCACAAGCTGGCTCCAAAAGGCTCCGGGCTTGCGAGGCGTCAGAAAACATGTTTTTTTTTTTTTTTTCGGAGTTTTTTGCTCCGAGACTGTTCAAAAAACACGAAAACACCAACTATTTGACCATTTTTCGGCTTTACAAATGAATTGGTAAAAAAAAAACATGCCGCAACGTCTCTGTGTGAAGATGTTTCTATGTAAAAGCGTCTCTGTGTAAAAGCGTTTCTCTGTAGATATATCTGTGTGTACAAGGGTCTGTGTGTCAAAGCTTCTGTGTGTAAAAGGGTCTCTGTGTAAAAGCTTCTGTGTGTAAAAGCCTCTGTGTGTCAAAGCGGTGTGTAAAAGCGTCTGTGTGTAAAAGGGTCTGTTTGCAACATTCTGTGTATGCGTAAAAGGGTCCGTGTGTAAAAAGGTTCGTGTTTAAAAGTGTCTGTGTGTAAAAAGGTCTGCGTGTAAAAGCATTTCTGTGTCAAGATGTTTGTGTGTCCAACAGTCTGTGTGCTACTACGACTCTGTGTAAAAGCCTTTCGGTGTAAGGATGTTTGTGTGTAAAAAGGTCTGTATGTAAAAGCCTCTGTGTGTAAAAGCGTATGTGTGTAAAAGTGTTTGTGTGTAAAAGCGCCTGTGTGTAAAAGGGTCTGTGTGCAACATTTTGTGTATGCGTAAAAGGGTCGGTGTGTAAAAAGGTTTCTGTTTAAAAGTGTCTGTGTGTAAAAAGGTCTCTGTGTAAAAGCATTTCTGTGTCAAGATGTTTGTGTGTCAAAAAGTGTCTGTGCGAAAAAAGCGTCTATGTCTCACGGCGTCTGTGTGTGCAAGGGTCTGCGTGTCAAAGGGTCTATGTGTAAAAGCGTCTGTGTGTAAAGCTGTCCCTGCGTACACGGGTCTGTGTGTGAAAGCGTCTGTGTATCTGTGTGAAGCTGTTTGTCTGTAAAAGCGTCTCTGTGTCAACGTGTTTCTGTGTAAAGCTATTGTAAAGGGGTCTGTGTGTAAAAGCATCTGTGTGTCGAAGTAAAAAAGTGTCTGTGTGTAAAAGCGTTTGTGTTGGGGGGGCCCTAACACAACTAATGAAGGCCCTTCTTTACGACTTACACGCTAAGGTTCCAGCACATTTTTTCCACAGTCCACCCGCTCCCCCAGACGTACGTTTTCCACAAGAAAAGCAATGTTTTCCACACCATTTTGCCCTTGAAAAGCAAGGTTTTCCACACCATTTTGCCCTTGAAAAGCAATGTTTTCCACACCGTTTTGCCCTTGAAAAGCAATGTTTTCCACACCGTTTTGCCCTTGAAAAGCAGTGTTTTCCACACCGTTTTGTCCTTGAAAAGCAAGGTTTTCCACACCATTTCGCCATTGAAAAGCAATGTTTTCCACACCATTTTGCCCTTGAAAAGCAATGTTTCCACACCGTTTTGCCCTTGAAAAGCAATGTTTTCCACACCGTTTTGCCCTTGAAAAGCAATGTTTTCCACACCGTTTTGCCCTTGAAAAGCAATGTTTTCCACAACGTTTGCCCTTGAAAAGCAATGTTTTCCACACCATTTTGCCCTTGAAAAGCAAGGTTTTCCACACCGTTTTGCCCTTGAAAAAGCAATGTCGCACCATCTTCCCTTTCAAACACCAAGTTTTCCACACTATTTTTCTTTTCAAAAGCAATGTGTTCCACATCATTTTCCGTTCAAAAACCATGTTTTCCACATCATTTTGCCTTCCAAAAGCAATGTTTTCCACACTTGCGGAAACTTTTGCGGAAACTTGTGCAGAAACTTTTGCGGAAACTTGCGCGGAAACTTTTTGCGGAAACTTTTGCGGAATCTTTTGCGGAAACTTTTGCGGAAACTTTTGCGGAAACTTTTGCGGAAACTTTTGCGGAAACTTGCGCGGAAACTTTTGCGGAAACTTTTGTGGAAACTTTTGCGGAAACTTTTGCGGAAACTTGTGCGGAATCTTTTGCGGAAACTTTTGCGGAAACTTTTGCGGAAACTTTTGCGGAAACTTTTGCGGAAACTTGTGCGGAAACTTGTGCGGAAACTTTTGCGGAAACTTTTGCGGAAACATTGCGGAAACTTTTGCGGAAACTTTTGCGGAAACTTTTGCGGAAACTTTTGCGGAAACTTTTGCGGAAACTTTTGCGGAAACTTGTGCGGAAACTTTTGCGGAAACTTTTGCGGAAACATTGCGGAAACTTTGCGGAAACATGGTTGGAACATTGTGGAAACCTATGAAATTAGTTGTTGATTTTCAGTCAACTCTTTACGGAGCCATTTTTTCCACATGTTTTCCACAGTCAAAGGGCTTAATTTTCCACAATCGAAAGCTTATTTTTCCACAATTAAGAGCCCGATTTTCCAAGAGCCCGATTGTCCACAATTAAGAGCCCGATTGTCCACAATTAAGAGCCCGATTTTCCACAATTACTGTAAGAGCCCGATTTTCCACAATCAAGAGCCCGATTTTCCACAAGTAAGAACCTAATTTTCAACAATGAAGAGCTTGGTTTTCCACAATGGAGAATTTGATTTTCCACAATGAAAGCCTAGTTACACAATGTAGGTTTACTTTTTCCAGTATGGTTTCCAGTTGTTTCTTAAAATTCAATTTGTCCACAAGCTACGGAAGTTCTGCTGTTTCTACACGCTTCAACGGTTTTCCAATCCCAAAATCAGATCATTGTTTCTCCATTCCCAGTGGCCAATGGCGCTTTTGTGGAAACTTGACCCTTTAAGTACGAAAACAATCTCTTTTAAAATTGAAAAATCGACACAAAAAGTGGAAAATGAACCCTCGTAACGTGGAAAATGGACCCCTTAAAGTGTGAAAACAAGCGCTTGTAAATGTGAAAAATCGGCCCTGGAAATGTGAAAATGAATCCTGGAATTAACCTTTGAAATGTGGAAAATGCGGCCTCGGAAATGTGCAAAATGAACCCGGGAAGTGTGGAAAATGAACCTTTGAAATGTGGAAAATGAACCCCTTAAAGTGTGGAAAAATCGCTTTTTAAACGTGGAAACTGGGCCTTGGAAATGTGGAAAATGAACCTTTGAAATGTGGAAAATGAACCTTTGAAATGTTCAAAATGGACCCCTTAAAGTGTGGAAAAATCGCTTTTTAAACGTGGAAACTCGGCCTTGGAAATGTGGAAAATGAACCTTTGAAATGTGGAAAATGGACCCCTTAAAGTGTGGAAAAATCGCTTTTTAAACGTGGAAACTCGGCCTTGGAAATGTGGAAAATGAACCTTTGAAATGTGGAAAATGGACCCCTTAAAGTGTGGAAAAATTGCCTTTTAAACGTGGAAACTCGGCCTTGGAAATGTGGAAAAATGAACCCTTGAAATGTGGAAAAAACGTCGCGAAACACGTTTTAGGAGCTGTAAAGAATAGTTGTCCAGAGGCCCCCCCAACGTTTGTGTGTAAAAACGTTTGTGTGTAGTCTGCAAGGGTCTGTGTGTAAAAGGGTCTATGTGTTTTTAGCTTCACAATGCTGGTTCATAGCTTCTGTTTGCTTGCTGTTCGTTCTAAAATTGTATATGTAGCCGTTTCCCGTTCTTCCCAAGAGCGAATTGCAATAGCCGGCCGAATGGCCGCCAAATGGCATTGGCCTAAAACGGCCGTTTCCCCTTGAGCCCAGAAGGCACTTTTAGTTGCCGGCCCGCAAGCCGCGAAAGTCTCAAAAGCTGGGTCCAAAAGGCTTCGGCCAGGATTTGGCTAAAAACGGCCGTTTCCCCTTGATCCCAGAAGGCCCTTTTAGTTGCCGGCCCGCAAGCCGCGAAAGTCCCACAAGCTGGCTCCAAAAGGCTCCTGGCTAGGATGTGGCTAAAAACGAGCGTTTCCCCTTGATCCCAGAAGGGAAATCCAATTGCCGGCCCCCAAGGCGCGAAAGTCTAAAATCTGGTTCCAAAAGGGTTCTTGCTAGGCTTTGGCCCAAAACGGCCGTTTCCATTTGATTTCAGATGCGGCTCTGTGTCAAGATGTTTCTGTGTAAAAGCGTCTGTGTGTAAAAGGGTCTGTGTGCAACATTCTGTGTATGCGTAAACGGGTCCGTGTGTAAAAAGGTTTGTGTTTTTAAAAGTGTCTGTATGTAAACAGGTCTGTGTGTAAAAGCATTTCTGTGTCAAGATGTTTGTGTGTCAAAAAGTCTGTGTGCTACTACTACGACTGTGTATAAAGCCTTTCGGTGTAAAGATGTTTGTGTGTAAAAGGGTCTGTATGTAAAAGCCTCTGTGTGTTAGTTTCTGTGTCAGAAGGCACTTTTAGTTGCCGGCCCGCAAGCCGCGAAAGTCTTAAAAGCTGTGTCCAAAAGACTTCGGCCAGGATTTGGCTAAAAACGGCCGTTTCCCCTTGATCCCAGAAGGCCCTTTTAGTTGCCGGCCCGCAAGCCGCGAAAGTCCCACAAGCTGGCTCCAAAAGGCTCCTGGCTAGGATGTGGCTAAAAACGAGCGTTTCCCCTTGATCCCAGAAGGGAAATCCAATTGCCGGCCCCCAAGGCGCGAAAGTTTAAAATCTGGTTCCAAAAGGGTTCTTGCTAGGCTTTGGCCCAAAACGGCCGTTTCCATTTGATTTCAGATGCGGCTCTGTGTCAAGATGTTTCTGTGTAAAAGCGTCTGTGTGTAAAAGGGTCTGTGTGCAACATTCTGTGTATGCGTAAACGGGTCCGTGTGTAAAAAGGTTTGTGTTTTTAAAAGTATCGTGGAATGCTAACAACTAGCAACCGCCTTTACTTCGAGATACTTCAGCGCAGAGACAAAAAAAACCATGAGCATTGCTTTGGGGGCTGGCTTTCGTCCCCCCCTTCTCAGGTATGTATATATAGATGGGAGTCGATCTAAAGGTCCATGTAGGGCATCTAGGGTTGTTTTTTTAATGTTTTTTACAAAGGGCGCCAGTGCTACAACATGAGACCGCGCGAAAGTTTTTTTTCTGAGTTCGCGCAAGTAGATTGATTTTGATGAGAGTAGTCGTTTGCAGATGAAAGAATTTGGATCAACCAATCAACCGCCATGTATATATATATATATACATATGTACATATAAATATATAATATCCAATTATATATATATATATAAGCATAATAGGATATAATAGGTACTTCTGTTTCCTTGTCTATCTTCATCAAAAATCCTGCAGTTTGCCACTGCTCAACGAGCTGCGGACCCTCCGGCGGCTGCGACATCCCAACATTGTCCTCTTCCTGGCCGCGCACGTCACGTCCCGCGGCGTCATCTGGGAAAATGATGATAGAAATATGGTTTATATAATGGGATTTTCCTTTTCTATAATTTTTTGGTGGTTGCTATAACTGAGGATTTAGGGATATGCTATTTGCAGAGAGTTTTTGGAATGTTTAGATGCCAATGGTGGGTACGGAAGCAGGACACAATGGGATGTGAGTTGTAATCTGAGATGTAACATGTTGTATATGAAGTATCTATTTTAGGTCCCCTTGACTCGTGACACACCACATTTCATAGTGAGGGTATATTTTTATCATTATCATCATTATTGTTATACCATTATACTGCAACCATACACGCACGATAGAACCATACTGTATGAGACAATACAACCCAAAAGAGTATTGATACAAAGCGTGAGTGAACATGGTGACACAAAATGGATCTCTTGTCTTGTGCAACTCCGCATTTGAGTTGCGTTCGCTGTAACTTCACAGACGCGGTCCACAGAGTAAGGGGCTGCTCTAGCAGTTGGAACCGGAGGTACCATGAGATACCAATTGCACCCAATTGCATGGGGTTGTGCCCCAGGTGTCAGGTACAACAGTCATGGACGTTTAAGTCAAAGGGTACCCCCTGAAGATCATCCAAGCAAAATGTTGAGGGGGGGCCATTGGGACGATATAAAAGCAAATAATTTATCTATTAAAATTACTGGTATATAAAACCTCTATTTACAGGGGTTTATCCGTTTATCCCATATTTTCTCATGATTTTCCTATGAACACCTTTAATTTCCATGACAAACTCGAAGCGATTTCCATTTGGGGCACCCGAAAAGTACCGAGGCCATCCTCGAACGACATGGCACTGGTCTTCGAGCTGATGGAGGGGCCAACCCTTCACGAGTCTTGGTAGGATGTTTTCAGGGGATTTATTGGGATTTCATGGGATTTTTCATGGGATTTATTGGGATTTCTTCAAGAAACACTGGGATCAAATGGGATTAATCATGCAGTTGGTGGACCCGATACGACATGGCTATCTCCAGGAAAATCGCAATCATCCAAACACGGGGTGCCCTGAAGCAATGGTAACTTGTGCAGTATCATCAATTATTTGTGCAGTACCCTAAATGTTTGGTACCATTCTGTACCTAAAGAGTCAATTAATGAATATCAATGAATATCATCATTTCGCCAGCTTATCAGACTCGCATTTTTTTGGGGGCGTACGGCCACATGTTTGGACAAAGCCGCCTGGCATAGCGCTCCCATTGCAAAAGCACCAGAGGCACCATGATTCCAAGACGTCTTGTGAGTGCTAGGGCTAGGATCTATCCCAAACTGGGATTGGTGAAACTAACATGATGCCATAGGAGGTAGCAAGATTTGCAGCCATTCCATCCATTCCCATATCTATTTCTTGGTTCAAAGGCGAATGGTCTTCCTTTGTACTACTTGTTTTTCTCTGCGACTTCAATGTCTCTAGCCATGATATCCCATGATTCAACGGGTCTGTCTCTTTCAGACTGGGTGGAAGATGAGCATAGCATCTGGAGGTTTCCTGAAATAGGGGTACCCCCAGTCATCATCCATTTATAGATGGATTTACCATGGATTTACCCTTCTAAACCATCCAGCTATTATCAGCTATTGGGGGTACCCCCGTTCCAGGAAACCCCCATCTATGATCAATTCATGGGATTTGCATGGTCCCTGGCAACGTTGCCCAAGTTGTTGGATCAGGACTGGATGAAAGCTCAGCCTCATCCCATTGAGTTTGATCCAGGCACGGCCGACATGTGTTGATCGCATGAAATCCCATGAAATCCCATTTTTTATTGGTCAAATCCTATAAAAATCCCATTTCTGATTGGTCAAATCCTGTATCCACTAACATCCTCATGTTATAGAGGTCAACCTCTATGACTCTATGACTATACCCCCAATCTCGTGCGAAAGGCAAGCTAAGCGTCCTGCGAGACATCTCTCTAGCGCTCCGATATCTCCATCAGCAAGAGAAGACGCTGGTGCCTGCGGATGGACTGGGATCAGGGGGAATCTGCAGGAACGCCATTGGATTTTTTTATGATTTTTTCCCATTTCATGGCCAATTCTTGGGAGATTTGGATCATGGTCAAGTTTTTTTTGGGGGAAGCCCATTGGCGGCTAAGGTCCTAATGACAATCCATTCATTCCAATCTAATTCAGTCTTGAGCCACACCCATCTGAGAAAAGCCGTTGATGCCCTGGCTCATGATGATTCTTAGGATTGATCACAAGAAAGATAAGACATGATAAGAAAGATGATTGGAGTGTCCACTTTTTGTTGCACTGCTCCATCTCCCTGCATTTAATTGAATATCTCTGTATAGTGACTGTCCAAGCAATCAGTACATATTACAGTATGTATGTATGTATGTATGTATGTAGGTAGGTAGGTAGGTATGTATGTATGTATATATATATATCATATTATATATATATGTGGTAAGATGTTAGCACTCCCTATCTGGACTATGAGGCAGCGAACTATATCAGGTTACATCAGATCAGGATAGATCAGGCTTAAATCTTTGGACCAGATTCCTTTCGATCAGATTGGGTGAGATTTGGTGAGCTGACCATGTCCCAAGGTGCACGGCGATCTAAAGGGTTCCAACGTGTTCCTTGATGCACAGAACGGAACGTGATCTCAGCCCGAGCTATGCTTGGTCGGTCGGTAAAAAATCTAGACCCTGGAATCAGAACTGGCTCAGAACCCACTGATGTCATTTTCAGTCTTTAGCTTCCTATTTTTTGGGGTTGCAGCTGGTTACATTCCCAGTTTTTTAAAGATATAATAGTTAAACTCTTCACAACTTGGATTTATACAGAGACCACCTAAGTGGTCTTATTTTCACCACTGGGTCATGTTGACAAAGTGCACGGTTGTAGAAACCTTTCAACCAACAAAGATGGGGGCCTCAATCAGCACAAACATGGGTTCCAACCCCAACAATTGGATAAAAATAAATATATTCCCTTCAAATCAGTCACTATTTACATCTATGTCTATATCTAGTATCTAATACCGAATACCTAATACCTATATATTATATATCTATATTTTTTCAAATCTATATCCGTATATCTAAATCTATATCTACACACATACATGACTCATAAATGTACATATGGCACTCATATGACTCCAAAGTGCCTCGGAGCTACAGCTCCCAGGTTTGTAGAGGGCACTGGAGCCTTACCTCGCGCCAAGCTGGGTGACTTCGGCTTGTCGAGGCGGAGCCCGGCGGATTTGGGTTTCAAATGGTATGTCCATTGAGTTTGTAGGATCCCCATTGGAAACTCAGCCCAATGAGCCTCCGCCAAGTGCCGAGTCACTGGGTCTGGATTCAGGTTTCTCTACAAGACGGAGCACGTCATGGGCGGAAGCTTGAGATGGATGGCACCGGAAATTGCTACAGGCACGGCGAGACTGCGAGAGCAAATTGGTCCAGTGGCCCAAGCGGCCCAAGTCCCCACACTGATGGTTACTTTCCTGATCTTTACGACCTATCATTGTTCCACGAAAAGTTGGAATGTACCGCTATATCTCCATCATTTGCTGCAAGTGAAAATGTTGCTGCTATTCGAAAGTCCCGTTATATCTCCATCATTTTCGATGGTTGACTTCAGGCCACGACCGTTCTCCGTGCTGGTCTCAGGAGCATTTGTACAGTCTGTGGCTTGAGATGTTGGGGGTTACCCTATGCCCTATGGAGCCACAACACATTGCCAGAACAAGTGAAATATCCAATACTCCCAGAATATTTCAGGAAGATAAATCCTATAGTAGATGTTACCCAAACTCCGTTGAAGCGAACATCTGCAGGAACATCCCCATATTTGGCGGAAGAAGATCCAGTTTTTTGTCGAAAATTCAGGTCCTGCAAGGCTGATGTCTTCTCGTTGGGAGCCCTGATGAGTCAGGCCCTGAGTCCTGCTGTGACCGCCAAGGCTTAAAAACTCTGGAAGATATGGATTTCCCTAAGGCCCAAAGGGTCTTGAAGGACGCATCAATTGATCGTTTTGTTGTTTTCTGGCTTGTAATTTGTCATTCTTTGCACTTTGGACTAAGCATTTTGGCATTTTTTGGTGCCTTTAGCTCCATGATTTTTTGGGATCAGACCTTAGCTGCTGAGGTTTCGCTCTGACGGCCACTTGCTGCGCAAACAATGGCTGGGGGGGCCAACCCGGGGCAAAACTCTCAATTGCGCATGGGTTGGGATTTTTTTGCGACCAACGTTTTAACTCAAGATTTTCTCTCAAACAAAATCATGATTCTCATGACAATGATCATGAAAATGATCCTTTTGGTCTTCTGTTGCTGGCCGTTTCTGGCTACGTTTTTTGTCTTCGGTGCGGTGCTGGTGATTCAGCCTTCAGGACATCAAGCCCTTTGAGGGGGTGGACCGCAACCAGATCCTGAGCATGATGAGGAAGGGCAAGCTGCCCCGCCTCAACTGGCCTCTGAGAGACACAGAACCTTGTCGCAGCGCGCGATGTCTGCGCGGTGGTGAAATGGGAGGAGATTGACCATTCCTGGAATGGGATTATATTTGCCATGTCAATCATTAGTGACTGGCTAGTAACCATAGGTATAACATGGTATAACGGTATAACCTATGGAATTCGATATGGATTATATGGGATAACCCCACCAGCTGCCAAGTGAGAGTGCTCCTCCAAGCACGGGATGTTGAGTTCACAGCGGAGTTTTGGGGGTTATAGATAGGGTTGAACATGGGTGAAGGGCATAAGCGGGTGTGTATATATATAATTATTTATATATATATATGAATGTAATATAATGTAATGTAATGCAATGCAATGAAATGTAATGCAATGCAACACAATGTAATGCAATGCAACGCAATGTAATGCAATTCAATGTAATGCAGTGCAATGCAATGTAATGCAATGCAATGCAATGTAATGCAATGCAATGTAATGCAGTGCAGTGCAGTGCAATGCATTGTAATTCAATATAATGTAATGATATAACATGATATAATGAGATATAATGATATATATATATATATAGTGATATATATATATATAATATGATATATATATATATATATGTAATGAATGATCTATAAAATGATCTATAAAATGATATATACTGATATATAATGATATATAATGATATATAATGGAATATATAATGTAATATATAATGTAATATATAATGTAATATATAATGTAATATATAATGTAATATATAATGTAATATATAATGTAATATATAATGTAATATATAATGTAATATATAATGTAATATATAATGTAATATATAATGTAATATATAATGTAATATATAATGTAATATATAATGTGATATATAATGTAATATATAATGTAATGTATAATGTAATATATAATGTAATATATAATGTAATATATAATGTAATATAATGTAATATATAATGTAATATAATGTAATATATAATATACACTTGTACTGAGCAGAGACAGAGATAGCTTGTATAAAATATACATCCTTGTTGGGTCCTAGGAGCAGCTCAGTCAACTGGTGCGCATGGGAGAGATGTGCTACAGCGTTGACCCGTCCAAGAGGCAGTGGCGTCATAGTTGGGGGTGGTGGAGTTAGATGTTTAAAACAAAAACCTTGAAGAATTTGATGGGAAAATCAATGATGATATTCGCTTCGCTCCGATTTCTTGCTCGTTGTATTGTTATGCCCCAATGCTCAACCTTTCGTATGCCCAAAATTGAATGGGACAACATGCAACGACCAAATTCTACGGGATACTAGGGGACAGACAGTGAGACGCTTTCCGTTTTTGAGCCATGGCGAGATCGCCAGATCAGGTACACAATAAATCTGTACATGTTTCCAAACTCGAATGCCGCTGACATGATGTAGCATGATGTAGCATGATGTATTATGATGTAACATGATGTATTATGATGTATTCAATTATTATGATGTAACATGATGAACCATGATGAACCATGATGTAACATGATGTAACATGATGTATTGTGATGTACCATGATGTACTATGACGTAACATGATGTAACATGATGTAACATGATGTAACATTATGTAACATGATGTACCATGATGTATTAAATTATTATGATGTAACATGATGAACCATGATGAACCATGATGTAACATGATGTAACATGATGTATTGTGGTGTACCATGATGTACTATGACGTAACATGATGTAACATGGTCTAACATGATGTAACATGATGTACCATGATGTATTAAATTATTATGATGTAACATGATGAACCATGATGTAACATGATATAACATGATGTATTGTGATGTACCATGATGTACTATGACGTAACATGATGTAACATGATGTAACATGATGTAACATGATGTAACATGATGTAACATGATGTACCATGATGTATTAAATTATTATGATGTAACATGATGAACCATGATGTAACATGATGTAACATGATGTAACATGATGTATTGTGATGTACCATGATGTACTATGACGTAACATGATGTAACATGATGTAACATGATGTAACATTATGTAACATGATGTAACATGATGTAACATGCATCCCAAACATGAACACCCCATTTTGTTTCACGCTCATCTAAATGGGATCTTGGCACAGGCCAGATATCATGCAGGTCCGGGCCTCAGCTATATCGTATTCCCTGGCACCCTGGGATGATCTGACTTGATATTTTTGAGATGGAAACATGTCGAAACCAGTACGTAACCAAGTTGCATCAAGTTGCACTGAGAAACTCAACCAGAAAGGTCCCATATGGAAGATGCAGAGATCGTGCAGATAGATCTTGCCGAGGTTCTGGAAGTGATTGGTTGGTCCCTCGACGGCAGTCGTGGACCTTTTTGCCAACAAGTTACATCAAGTTACGTGTTTTGAGGTAGAATCTGGTACCGAAAGTCGGTAGAATCTGGTAGTTGTAGAGTGAACAAGAGTAAACTGGTCTCAAACTTGCATGATACCTCATGGCCCAGAGGAATGTTGTTTAGTAAAGCGATGATCACACAAGATACCTGAATTTTGATCATTATTATTGGAGTTCCATATTTTGATTGGAGAATTTATGATCTTTTGGGGTTAAGGATTGGGAAGTGTCCAGTGAGGTGTCATGCCAGCTTTGAGCTTCACTGCAGTAACTTGGCTTGGGCAAATCTGGTCGGAAACGTGGTTCCATCCACCTCTAGGATCCCAGGGCCACGACCCGAATCCACAGCTTGAACTTGACGAATACCGAGGTCCATCTGTACTCACTTGAAACAAGCTCACTGGCTCTGAACCTGGTATACCGTGGTCAGAATCTGTGAAGGATAAATGTATAAAGTGCGTTTCAATGCGCTCACTTGCCAGTTTTTAAAGAATCGCAGAAGATATCAAGCTGCATGATGAAGGACTGATGTTGGGGGGCTTAAGACATTTGAGACTTAGAACCCTCCTACCAGCTTAGCAGGGAAGACATCATGCTCTGAGATCTATGCAATCCCGCATCTTTGCGAGGGGGATCTCTAAAAGAGATCCCTTTTAAGTGTCACCCAGCCGGAAAATGTGCCCAGAAATGGGGAATACCCCAAATCCTAAAACCCCGTTGGATTTGGGGCATCCTCCATTTCCTTGACATATTGAAATGTCCTCAAATGACTCTCCGGCCAACTCCCTGCGAACCGCCTTGCCATCACCAGGCTGCGCGGATTGTGGATGAGATTTCATCTCAAATTCAGGAGGTGGGATTGTGGCTGTGTACATTGCATCGCATATCCAGAATCTTCAGCCCTAAGCCTGGCAGTTTTCGCAGGTTTTGGCTGCAACCCGCACTGCCTCCAAGAAGGTCGGAATGGAAATCTGGTTTATAGCTGGGTCTTTTTTATTTATTTTTCTTGAAAGCTTTCCTGGATCAGGAGAAAGCGGCTCTACTTGCCCGGAAGCGTGATCTGGAGCGGCATTTTCCAAGCTTTGAGTTGGTGATGTGGTCAAAATATGTCAAAATGAGACCCGGCCCCTCTGGGATATTTTGGAGATATTTTTTGCAGAAGCAAGTCTCCCAAGTTCGGGTAGCCAATTTTGACCTATGGCAAGTTGCTGCCAGGAGAGTTCCGCTAGCTATTTGGATGCCTTGGCCTATTTGGAGGCCCGGTGTGTATGGATCAAAGTTGGACCAGCATAATCCATAGGTGTGGGGGTCATACAAGCTCTTGAAGTAGGTATAGGCACCACATGGCACCACCATTTTCACTGGACACACTCAAGAAGTGGAGTCTCTACCCCTGCTTTTTAACGCAATCCTGTTGCCTGAAAGCCATTGCCATCACAGCCAGGACCCTGAGGGCGAGCGAAAACGTCGGCAGGAAGTGGATGCCGAGGTGGGGCCTGGGTCAAATGCCAACCTTCGTATGCTAAGCTCCAATAGTGGCTGGATTTTGTTTGTCGTAAATAGATACAAATTTGCATTTATATTGAAGATGCATATTTTTTTCCTCGGGGTACCCAGTACGTAATTGCCAAGATGCACCTTTTGGCCCTCGGGCCGGGTCATTTTTTGGCGGATGGCCGAGCTCTTGCGGAAATTGAGGCATACCGAGTAGTTGACGAAGTTGCAAGCCAGATAGCGGAGGCGTGACAACCTTCGGGCTGATGGGGCAGAAGTTCAACCATCACAACCTGTAGCAAAACATGTTCAAAAACCTTCCTGTAGACCTTTGGGTGCCTCACCCATCTTCTAACGTCTACCCGACGAGTAAAGCCGTTGTTTGGCCGCCAGAAATCTCCCAGCAGCAGGTTCTAGCTGCCATGCGAACGGCCTCCAAGAAGGACGAAGATTTTGGATATGCTATGGGAATATCCTATGGGTGTGTCGGAAAATGGACCATACCTCAAAAAAAGTAAGGCCATTCTAAGAGGGAACACGAAGATCCATTGGATTTTTCGGCACCTCCTTTCAGACAAGCCCAGAAAAACCTACACCACCTACAGCAAGCACAGCTCCAAACATACAGAATCCACTGCGTGTTGATGCTTGAACCATCATGAAAATGGATTACGTAGCGGCTGAACATGGGCGTTCCGGTACTTTTCATGAGGGGGACACTGCTGATTTTTTTCTCTGGGCAGAAACATGGAGGGATTTTGGCGGCTATGGATTCATGGCGCCCCTGTTGAAGGAGAAACCGGTACTTCTGGCTCGGAAGCGAGAACTGGACCGCTGACACAACTGTGTGCTGTCATGTTGGCATTGATCGTGCTTGCAAACCACATTGCATTCAAAACAGCTGCATGCCAAATGCTGCTTGGATTAGTGTTGCCTTTGTTGGAAATCAATGGAAATCAGTGGATACATGATGATAGACAGGTGCATGACTAAAGACTGTTGCTACTTGTACGACGATGGCGACGATGGGGCTATTTATCTAATCCATTCGATCATACTCATTGGGTTAGCGATAATTAAATCCACAGGATTTCCCGTACCCACATCTACGCAGTATACTATAGCCATGATTGTCCCATGAATCATATGAAATAACCACCATCTTCCAGCCCCCCAAAATGACTGGGTCACATAGATCCCATGATGTCCCTTAAATCATAGATATTTCAACATTCATACATAAAACATAAAACATACATAAATCATTCATAAAACATAGATAAATCATATTAGATATAGTTCATAGAAAGCTCCATAAGCCCATGTGCCAGCTGCAGCTGAGCTTCAGGAGAACCTGCCGGCATATGTGGAGGCCCTCCACTACTTGGAGGACCCAGCTGAAGCGCGGCACCGCAAGAGGCGTCCCCAGAGAGATGCCGAAAGGTGAAGAATTAATTCTCACATATCCTCACTATCGGCAGGGAAGATTTCACTGTTGGATTTTTGTTTGGTGTGCCTTTTTTAGCCTATAAGATTCTATAAGCAGTTCGGATATTTGGTTCTGAAGAATGGAGTATACCACAAAAGTATGGCCATTTCAATACGGAAAATCATGATAAACGATACAATTTTGGGGTACAGTACCTTATTTTCAGACAAACACAGGTGGCAATGGAAGATTTTGCGGACCCATTTTGGACATGTTTGGACCGATTTTGCGGATGATCTGCGGATTCGACTTGCAGATGTTTCTGGTGACATTTTCTGGTGGGTATGGCTCCAGCAGCCAGAACCTGCAAAAGGTTGAAACATAACTGGGTCACAAAGTAACATTGACAATCATTGGCACGGATGTGGTTCAGAATTGAAAAACCAAACATCAAACATCTACAAGGTTTTGCTGATTTTTGGATCATTTTGGGTACGAACTATGTAGACGCCCTAGCCATGGGGACCTGCCCATGAAAGCCTCCAAGGCAGGCCACGTCCAGTGAATAGCCAGATGACTTTGACGGCTGGCAGAATGGCCACGGATCGGGGAATCAAACAACTTGGTGGTTTTCTATTTGAACTACCCTCTGGTAAACTAACATAACTATGGAAAATCACAATTTTTAGTGGGAAAATCCACTATAAATGACCATTTTCAATAGCTACGTTAAATTACCAGAGGGTAGGATGTGATGATAATTGAGGCTCCAATCATTCGTATATACACTGATGTTTTGGGGGATTCCGAACCACCAAGCTAAATCAGCGGGCGGATTTTCGAGGTGGGCGCCTAGAGCGGAACTGGCTCTCGGTCAATGACCGTGGCATCGCAATTTTCGGCCCCGCCGTAGGACAGGGTAGGGCAGGCACCCACAGGTAGTTGAGCTTTGTTAGAGCCAGTTAGGAGGGCTGTTCTTCAGCTCCACGGAATGGGATGCACATCACCTGAACAACACTCTCATCGCTGAATCTCTAGGGAAGTGCCAAACCAATTATAATTATTACATGCAACCGCGGAAGCCAAAACCCAAGTCGCAAAAGTATGGCGTTTGCATGGCGGAAGCATGGTGGACGAGAATGTGGACAGGGACCGACAGATTGTTTTGACCGATCAAGAGAAATCCACAGATGCTATTTTAAAGTTATGCATATTATGCTTAAATTATGCTATAGTAATCACATCCCAATGCCCTTTGGATCCCTTTGGAGTCAAGTCGTGAAGAAAACACCCTTGGCCAATGGCCCTCCAGAAACCCGAAACCCCTGAGCTTGTGCAGCTCCTGCCAAAGAGCAGCCGTTGTGCCAAAGAGCTCTGCCAAAAGCCGTGGCCCGTTGTGGCCTCACTGGGTTCAAGGGAAAATCTACAGGAAATGATGGATTTCACCAGCTCAAAAGTTGTTTTTCTTTTTCTGTAGTTTTTTCTGTTAAAACCGATTCTGGGAACCACCCTGGAGCCACACATTTGTTTTTTTTGGTGCAGTTTCGTCCAAGTTTGAGCGCTGGCTTGATGATTCTTGATCACCACTGAAACCAAGTTATATTTCTCGATGCAACTTGAATGAAACATTGAAAAGCTTGCGGGGGCAGGCCAGGATCCGATAGGACTCCGTTTGCATTCATCAGAGACCTTGCCTGACTTCTTGGCTACAGCGGTCCTCGCGATCCCTTCCCGGTCCACTTGGGGAAGGTTCTTTTCCACCTGATATTGCTTCATGGCTGCAAGCGCCTGCAATATATCAAGCCATGTATGGCATGTATGGCCTGTGATATGTTTCAGTCTGGTGAAAATCATGAAAAGGTGACATGCATCCCAAAGAACGGCCGCAATTTCAAGCAGAGGACATGTATCGGACATTGCAGAAAAGGTGCTCCTTTTCACATCTGAAAAAACTGAGGCACCAATGAGAATCCAGCGTGCCAAGCTAAGTTTTGGCTGAGCAATGCCGATCTGATCCGATCTGATCCGATCTGCCAACGTGCTTCGACGGGTGAGAAACAGCGTCGCAGGTACATGCGGAATGAGCTCCCAGCTCCTCTGTGCCTTGGATCGAGATGGGAAGGTTTTCCGCCATATCAAAACGACATAGATTTTGTAAGTCAAACGTCAAAACAATGTGTATAATATAATGTGTCATATAATGTGTCATATAATGTGTCATATAATGTGTCGTATATAATTGTATATATATATATATACACACTAACGAATATACATATATATATACACTAACTAATATATATATATATAATATATACATACATTCTTCGTTGGAGCCACGCTCCAGCAGAGGTGAAGATGCTGACAAGTTTGGATAGGGGCTTACGCCAATGCCTTGAGTTCATGCACTGGCAAGGAACGCTCACCTTCTTCCGCAGAAGCTTTGGTTGCCTTTTCATGCTTGTGAGTCGCAATTGGCTGGAGCAGGTGTTTGTAAAAACTTTTGGAAAGCTCCAATTTCGTATGAACAAGTCTGGGCGCGCTGTCGCTGTTACAGACATTTGATTGCCGTACTGGCTAGGTTCGCAGGGTTGCCTTTTGCTATAGTGCCTGTCACAGCTCAGAAGCTGACGGCCTTTTGACTCAATTTGACACGCCTTCTGCTACCACCGTATATGCCACAGAATCCTTTCGGGCGGATGTGGTAACGCAGCTGGTGTTGTGTTATGTGTTGCAATAGCCTTTTGTCCTCTGGCAGGAAGCATGACCGGGGCGAAATTGATTGTTGGACTGGACGGCTAGTGCTCCAGGTGAATCTTCGTTGGAGAGGACATTGGTTTAGGAATGATTTTGTGTGCATCCCGCTCTGTTGGAGTTTAAACCATTGCTCTTCATGGATCAGTTCAGACATTGAGGTTGGCCTAGCCAAAGAAGATCATCGTGCTGCGGTGGTTCATTTGGGTCGAATGGTTTGTACTGAAGATGTGTCCGGTCGGCCCAAAGGCTTCAAGTTACGATTAAGTGATTTTGATGCTAGTTTGCTATGCAGCCTCACACCCCCTCACTGGGGTCTTGACGTACATACTCATGCCAAAGACCTTCAGAACTCCATTGTTGAGGAACTATGGGACTATCGAGACCGAGATAAATCCAGGGCAAAACGAGCCATTATGTCAGATTTTCATGGCAGTTGGTTTTGGACAAAAGGCAATGTAGGAATCTACTGCATGATCGTTCCAGGATTCAGCGTAGAACTCTCCTTGAAGCATGGTTCGCTTGTTGGAGACACTCTTGCCATGACTGCCCTTTTGATGCCCTTGCCCGTTTAACTGCAGTAGCCTATCATCAATTCCGCAAGCTCGGAGTTCAAGTTTCTAAGGCGCTGAGGGCTGATGATGTAGACTTTTATACAAGCCTGTTACGGGATTGTGCTGAATTTTTACGCCCACAGGATGTGAAGCATCTATGGCGTGTTGTACGTCGTTCGCTACCTAAATTTCAACAGCGACGACTTTCGGTGCAACTGGCGCAGCTTGAGCACTTGGAAGATCAATGGCTCCCACATTATGCAGAACTTGAAGCGGGAATCCCCATCACTCCAGGACAGCTCGTCCAGGACTGTGCGTTTGAACAAGCTCTGCGTAGGATCGATGCGCCCTTGCACCTTCGCCTGGCTGACCTGCCTTGTCTGACGCAATTGGAACGAGCCTTCCGCTCCTGTTCAGCTGGTAAAGCCACTGGGTTCGACCCTCTGCCCTCAGCTCTTTTCCATCCTGCACCTGCTCCCCTAGCTGCATTATACCATGACCTTGCCTTGAAGGAATTTGTATGGCAATGTGAACCGATGCAGGATAAATAAAGGTGGTCCAGTTGGACTCATTCCGAAGACTCTGCACCCCCACACGGCTAAGCAATTCCGGGAGATTCTCCTCTTGCCTAGTGTTGGGAAACGCACGCATGCCATTTTGAGGTCACAGATTATGGAAAAGCTTACCGCTGTGAGAGCGCCTGGTCAGCTAGGAGGATTTCCAGGACAACAGGTGATCTATGGATCACATGCAATCCGAACCTTTGGCGCCTTGTGTGACAATGCTGGTCTTAGTTGTGCGGTCCTGTTTTTGGACTTAGCTAGTGCTTTCCATCACCTCATTCGTGAAAGTGTTGTGGGAGCATGGGACGGGAGCCATCTTGAACCAGTTCTGGCAGTTCTGCAACAGTCTGGACATGCAGCTTCGAATTTCCAATGTTTTGCCAGGCTTCCGGGCCTTCTTTCCAAAATAGGCATTGCCGAACCAATTGTACGACTGCTGCGCGATATACACATTGGTACGTGGTGTAGAATACATGAAAGATGGCTTCTGCGTACCCACAGAGGTACCAGGCCCGGCAGCCCATTAGCTGACATTATTTTCCATGCTTTAATGGTTCGAGTTGCTCAATCCATTGATGAGTGGATAGGACTGCAGGATGACTTTGTCTCATTCATGCATGAGTTGGATGTTGCAGTCCCCACCATCCTGTGGGCTGATGACATAGCAGTAGCACTTGCCACAAGGAAAGCAGCTGACTTGGTCCCGTTTTTGCAGGAAGCTTTACAACATGTCCGACATACCTTGCGAGATTATGGATTTACTTTGACTTTCTCCAAAGGTAAAACGAGTGCGGTCATGACCTTGAAAGGGGCGCGATCAGGGGAACTGCGCAAACAATACCAGTTGCATGCTAACCCTGGAGTTTACTGCACCTTTGAAGATGGGCAAACTGATGCATTTCGTTCCCACATACCAACATCTAGGCACTTTGTTGCATCTAACCATGCATTACATTGTGAATTGCGATCTCGGGTTGGTATGGCCAAGTCGGCATTTGCCCAACTGGCTAAGCCAATTCTGACCAACAAGTTTATGCCTTGCAAATTACGGCTGCAACTTTTCCAATCTCTTATTGCTACCAAGCTGTATTTTGGTCTCGGGGCTTGGTCAGCACCAACCCCGAAACAAATCCAATACTTGCAAGGGGCATTGATTGCAATGCTTGCGTATTGGTCAGGAGCGTATCCCGGCTGATCGGGTTTTGATGCTTGCAAATACTGCGGAGATTCGAGTTAGACTTGCAGTGGAAAGGTTACTATATGCGCAGAGATTATTCCGTACGGGTCCGCCCTTTTTACACCATTTGCTACAGATTGAATTTACCCAAATTGAACACTCTTGGATGCATGGGTTGCGAGCTGACCTTGCATGGATGGAAGAAGCCTGCCCCATGTCTACCTGGCAAGATAATCTGACAAACCTGATTGATTGGTGGCAAGAGCCTACTCAGTACTGGACCAGACTGGTCAAGAAGGTTTGGAAGTTACACCTTACCCAGAATGCTATTATGGCTGACGCCAAAAGATCCATGCGGGGATCTTCCGGAATTTGCGTGCAGCTGGTGCGACTTTTGATTCTCCGTTTGAAGACTTTTGTGATTGGGATGAACGATTCGATTGCTTCTGCGGATGTGTTTTCACCACGAAGCGTGGTCTCCTTGCACACCAGCGCAAGGCACATGCGCTTTTTTCAGTTGAACACCAGTTTCTACAGGGATGCGCGTGTTTACATTGCGGTAAGTTCCTCTGGTCCACTCAGCGATTGCAACAACACTTGGCTTATATTCCTAAGGCCTTGGGTTATAATCCATGCTTTCATGCGCTACAATCTCAGGCTAGGCAGGTTCCTTACTGCCGGGTTGATGAAGGTTGCACCACTTCATTCGCTGGCCTGCACCGACGTGATTGTCTACAAACTGAAGGCCCAGCCATCAGCCCCTGTACTGTGCAAGATATTCAGCGTGAAGCTGCCCAGGCAGCATTGGACGACTGCAACCGGAAACTCACTATTATTCATCAACCACCAGAACCCCTTTTAGAAGGGGAGCGCATTGGAGAGGAGTTGACCCAGGCCACTATGGCCTGGTTCCAGACGTTCTATCCGCAAGGGCCCACGGACGAAGAGAAGGACCTTTTGGCAGATGCCTGGGTGGAAGTGTTGTGCGCGCGTTGTTTCACCTCTGAGGTTGATCTGGACCCGTGGCTGCAGATGGTTTTTCTCCTATGGGGTGAACATTGGATGCCTGACCTTCTTGATTCCCTTGAGGATGGTGTGGCAGAGACTGATATTGATCATCTCTTTGCTGACTTCGCTTCGCAACTTGACCGCTACAGGTTGCTAGCACGACGAGCACAACTTGAATATAAGCTAGGCTTATGTGAACCTACGGCCCCGACGGCACATCGAATGAATGCGCCAGCTGACCGGCCGAAATGCCCCAAAGCCAATAGCAAAGTTGTGCAGTCGGTGCCACGACCATTTGCAGACCAAGTACTTTGGCAACAGAGAGTACTTGTACGTCAGATGAGTTTCCTAGACCTCCGTCCTACACAAGCATGCCCTAGGTTGTTGCTACCCAATGGTGAGGAGGCTTTCCTAGTGGTACATCTCTTCAGTGGAAGGAGGAGACCAAATGACGTCCATGCATCCTTACAGGAGTTCGCTACAACTTGCCAGCTGAAGCTGATTGTGTTATCGCTTGATACAGCGGTTTCCAGTGAGTTTGGAGATTTTGCCTTAGGCAGTACCTCCTGGCAGACTTTGGAACAGGTCTACGCTGCGGGGGCAGTGGGAGCCACTCTCGTGGGCTCCCCATGTGAGACCTTCAGTGAGGCTAGATACATGGTGCCAGATGATTTGCCTGCTGGATCTGTAATGCCAAGGCCATTGAGGTCTGCCCAGTACCTATTTGGCCTTGAGGGGCTAACCGCACGTGAACGTCTTCAGTGCCACCTTGGAGGAAACTTCTTTCAACAAGGGGCACTGGTACTCTCTTACCATATTATGAAATTTGGGGGGTGCTTCGTGTCCGAACACCCCGCAAGACCACGTGATGACACCCGCCCTAGCATTTGGACAAGTGCCATTTTGCAGGTGCTTATGAGGCACCTAGAGGCCACGTTGTCACATGTCAGCCAATTTGGGGCCACTGTCACCAAACCGACAGGGCTCCTACATTACCAGATGCCAAATTTTTGCAAGGACCTGTATCAACATGCGGATGCTTCGGCTTTGAGGCCAAAGGATGTCGCGATTGGACGCGACTCCACAGGACAATTCAAGACGGCAAAACATAAAGAGTATCCTGCACGTTTTTGTCGAGGCCTTGCGTTTACTATTTCGCAGGCTCTGGCTGCTGCTGCTCGGACGAGCGTGGTCCAGTCTGTGGTGTTGCCTAACCACCTGATGTGTTGGATCCACGGAGCTGCCAAAGCAAGCTCTTTTGTACACAGACATACGTGGATGCCTGATTATCAGGGCACTTAGGCCCAGTCTTTTGTAGCTTAATTAGAGAGCTTTGCACGCCGCAGCAAAGGCACAGACCTTTTCGCGCATCGAAATGAAATGAAATGAAACGAATATACATACATGTATACATTATAAATAGTATTACTGTACACATCATATTTCCCATACCATTTACAATGCTATGAAACTTGAAATGGTGCTACTGTGGTCTCCCGACATTCTGAGCCGAGGTTTAGCAGCTGCCTTCGTGCCATGTTGGACGTCTCAGAGAGCTGGGCTGTGGGGTTAGGACTGGTTCAACCTGGCCACCTGGCCACCTGGCAATGGAAAAACCACATGAATTCACCATTTAACCACGTAAATCCCTGCATAAATCCAAGTAAATCCACCATTTATAGAAGATTTCATGGGAATGAACGTGCCCAAAACCTTCACGTTGGACTTACAGAAGTGGATCAAAGACTGTAGATAAAACTACCTGCAGGAGCTACCATGATGAAGTGTGGGGTTTCTTGTGAACACAGCGGAATTGAACAAATTACTCTCATCACCCAGACAACAACCAGCACAATGGATCCATTGCCCATCATTTTCCCATCAAAACCTCATATCTATCTATCTATCTATCTATCTATCTATCTACCTATCTATCTATCTATCTATCTATCTACTATCTATCTATCTATCTATCTATCTATCTATCTATCTATCTATCTATCTCTCTCTATATATATATATGTATGTATGTATGTATGTATGTAATGTATGTATGTATGTATGTATGTATGTATGTATGTATGTATGTATGTATGTATGTATGTATGTATGTATGTATGTATGTATGTATGTATGTATGTATGTATGTATGTATGTATGTATGTATGTATGTATTATGTATGTATGTATGTATGTATGTATGTATGTATGTATGTATGTATGTATGTATGTATGTATGTATGTATGTATGTATGTATGTATGTATGTATGTATGTATGTATGTATGTATGTATGTATGTATGTATGTATGTATGTATGTATGTATGTATGTATGTATGTATGTATGTATGTATGTATGTATGTATGTATGTATGTATGTATGTATGTATGTATGTATGTATGTATGTATGTATGTATGTAGTATGTATGTTAATGGTATGTATGTATGTATGTATGTATGTATGTATGTATGTATGTATGTATGTATGTCTATATGTATATATGGTTATGTCCATGTATAGGGGAAATTCCTATTGCCATGTGTCACTCCTGCAGGGTGCAGCAACATCCTATTGCTGAGGTAGCACGCAGGCCCTGATCCCGGATGTGTCTTGGGCCTCAGTGAGCGGTTTTGTCCACTAAAAAAAAACAATTCACAAATGTATACCGTATACGCATTATACACCCCAAGGGGCAATGTTTCTATGTTTTACGTGGGAAGATGATGATAAACCACCGGAATTTTGTGTTGCAAAAATATTTTTTCTTGGACAAACCTGAATCTAGACTTGATTTATCTTGATTTCTGGCATGGAGATCTCTAGGTAAGGACCCTAAGTCGGCAGCGACCGACGATTCTCAGTCTGAGGAGTGCGATGCTGCAGTCAGGGATCACAAAGCCAGTATCCTGGTTGCAGAACTGGGCAGTTCGGCGGTGAACCCAGGGATTCTACTCTGAGTTATGGATCATTGATGATCATTGTCTGCGCCTTTCAAACTCAGCGGCCCTTCAATCCGGTCCATGGATGAGCAATGAAAAATACCGTTGTTAATTTGGTATACTTGGATATATTTGATTGTACTTCCCAATTTACAAGGGATTATGTTACTGTATTAATAACCCGTGAATAGGTACACCATGGTACATCTATTCACCAAGGTACACCATGGTACACCTATTCACCAATCAGTAGAATGGGATGGGATAGGAGGGTGTTTGTCATGGCTCATCCTTCGCCCACTGGTTGATTCATACAGGGGTACCAGCTCAAAAGCGGAGAATCCCAGCTGACTCGTTGGAAAATCCACCGTCAAAATATCTATGTTTATTTCAGTTGGTTTCAAGGAAAATAGTTGGTGTCACGGAAAATCTACAGAAACGCCTTCTATTTGGAAGCAAAACCATCGTTACCCCCTATTTTTTCCCTAGTCCTAGGTTCCTTGTGCAGATCCAGAAGATTTCGTCAGTGAAATTAGTCAAATCCACAAAGTTTGGTGTGTTAATCCACCATTTTTGATGGTAACAGTTCGTCATGTCTCCCAGGCCGAATCGCCTCTAGAGACGATGCAACCAGCTGTGCCTATGCAGATGCCCGTGCAGCCCATGCAGCCCATGCAGCCGATGCGCCTTGATCATCGATGGGTCATGCATGGGGATACCTCAGCACCCCAAAATATATTAGATAGGCATGATTATATATATATATATATTATATAAATATATAGGTATAGATATAGATATGGATGTGGATATAGATATAGATATAGATATAGATAGGCATGGTTATATAATATATAAAATGTTTGAAACACATTAATAATGTCATATATATGTATATATATATATGTATATATATATATATGTATATATGTATATATATATATATCTAAAGAGATCCTACACATGGTCACGTCCAGCTGCAATTTCTCACGGACCTTCAATTTTGACACCAGACACATCTAGCTGGAACATGGACAACATCCACAGATGCACTTTGAACATGCAAGATTTATCATGATTTATGCGAAGATTTCCCTGCACATTCTGCGCGAAGATTTCCAACTGCTTAGTTCAAGACAGCTTCATTGGCCCCATTGCGACTTTAAAAAAGCTGCAGGTTCCTGCAACCCTCCATGCAGATGCCCGGCTACGTCTCTGCGTCCTGGGCTCTCAGCTGAGACTTTCGGGGCATGGATGGGCAGGGTCTGATGCGCCAAGGCTGCAGATGCCAATGGAAGGCAATCTTCGTGGCATGGAAGTCCCCCAGATGATGCCCATGTCAGCTTCATATCAGAGCCCGATCCAATGGCCTGCAGCTCAAATGCCCGGAGCCCCATGGCAAGTCACACGGTTGAAGCTGAAGAGCTGCAGCATGGGGGCCCCTTGGCCCGTGCTTCAGGCCCGCTTATCAGCCAACCGTTTCTGCTGCGTGGGGATCTTAACGGTCATAACACAGGCATCCTCAAGAGCTGTGGGTTTGGGTGAAAATATGATACACCATGATACACCCTTCCACTGGGTGATCATCATTTTCCGTTCCCTATGATAGCGGCCAGACACACCCGAGTTGGTCATGGACCTTCCCAAGGAGCTTCTACCAGCAACAGGTGGTTGATTCCCCAGAGATGCCTCAGAGATCGGAAAACGTTGGGAAATTGCTGGTGTTGGATTTTGTTTTAATGTGAACTCAGGACTAATAACCCCCCAATCAGTTTATTTACAATGGAGGGTGCCAATTTGAATGATGTTTGACTATTTTGGGGTGAACATCCGCAATGAAGAGTCAGGGTTTATTGGGGGTGACACGAATTTGTTGGGATTCAGATGCGAAGCATTACCATCTCACGAGGCTTTGCAACAGCAGCTTCTGAATCTTAACAAGCAGCTGAAGCAAGTAAAGGAACAGGACAGCATAATTTGTGGCGTCATTTGACTCATTGAAGCCTCTCGAGAGGTCATGTTTATATAATTGCAGATTGCTCGCAGGAGGAAAGCCAGGCCTCAAAATTGCAAGCAAAGGCCCAAGCCTCCAGAATTTCGCGTCAACCTCAACTTGAACATGGTGTTTCGGTATAGAAACACAATGAGACCAAAGAGGCCCAAGAAACTGGGAGACTGCACGGGTTCCCACCTCGCGCCAGACTGCTGAAGCGGATTCGGCGGACAAGAGGTTAAAGGAGGCCCCTGCCACCAGGGCTTCCCCCCGGTCACTGGGTCACCGGGTCACAGCCGCGGGAGGCAGAGCTTAAGCTGAAGGATGCGGATGCTGCGGCAAGGCAGCTGCAGGACAGAGAGCAAAAGGTCGAAGATCAGGTCGGGACTGGGAAACTGCAGCTGACGCAGTTGGCTGAGATTGGGTGCTCTGTTCATGTGAAAAGGATTAAAATCTAAGGTGATGGTATTGGAATGATCCCTACAGTTTTTGACTTGTCAGTATCTGGTTTTAAACTCCTCGTCACTCTTCTTTTTTATTTATCTTTTTTTGGATAACACCACACCCATTCACATAGCCATCAAGAAAGTATAGATATATGCATAATTAATCATAATATATCACAAGTATACATCGTAGTGTCGTTGTAATTTATACATACATATCATATCATATATCATATATCATATATAATTTTTAATATATCATATATCATATCATATATCTATCGAATAATTGCGTAGATTATACTTATGATGTATTATAGAATACCTGCGAGGCCATTTCCGCAGTGAGAACGGCCAAAACCCAGGTCTCGCAGGCCTGGCAGGCATCGAAGTTTTAGCTACGAATAAGAAAACAACATGGATTTTTCACCAAAAAAGGCTTGGAATTTCTCGAGGAAACACTGGATTTGATGATTTGAGACTTGTTGGGAAGCGTCCAGCTTTGAACTCCTTGAGGAAGCACAGGGTATCGAGGGCGGTGACTCCTTGAGGCCCAGAAAGAACTGAAGGAGATGCAAGATGAGCTGCGACAGGTCGGGAAAGTGATGGGAAGATCCAATGCTCAAACATCCATAAACCATGGGATAAAATGGGATAAACTGATCAACCCCTCACTTGGGGATGGTTTGTAGTACAAATGGTACTCATAAACTTGGAATCGGCTTTGGGTTTTGGGTTTACAACACAGTTCGTATCCAGCAGGTCGTCTTAGAGATAGCTGTGTCATGGTTTTCCTCATATATTTGTTCATTTCTGGTGACTTGTCATTGACCAAGTCCTTTTTTGTTGGCCCAGGTTAAAGCCCGACGTCTTCACGCTTCATCCTGATTCTCACATTAATGGTCCGAGAGATTCAACGTTGCTTTAAAAGAAACCACCAAACTAATGATCTCAAGTGAGTCATCAAAGTTGAGAAATGTATCTGTCTCGAAATGGAATACCCCAACGTTTGATGACAGATTGTTTTTAAACATCATTTTCCCATAATGTCCCCAATTTACATGGCAATTTTATGGCCATATATTGAGGATAAACCCATTTCTGGTGCCAGCGGGTCGCAGGCACAGGCAGATGCCATTCAAGCACGTGCAGCACAAGCTGCAGCAGAGGCTGAAGTTGAAGCTGGCAGACGGGCCCAAAAAAAACCAAAAACATGAAAAGGGCTTCGCAGTGGCGATGAAATAATGGGAAACTGAGGTTTTGAACCATCAACTATTAACCATTCACTATTAACCATCAACTATTAACCATTATAAACCATTTTAAACCATTATTATCAAATGTTGATCTTTGAACCATTGAACTTTGGGGGAATCCTCTAGTCTTGGACAAGCCAATGACAAGAGAACTCCAGAGTTTTCCCTGACTCTACTGGCGGCTGGTTCCATGAAGATTTTTTCCCAAAGTTCGGATGAAAGTCGTTGGAAGCTCCTTCAGTTCACCAGGAGCAAGTCGCAAAGTCGGAGATGCTTCAAGCAACACAGGCGATGGCGATGTGGCTCCAAAGGGGGTCACCAGGAAAAAAACATCCCCATTCGCCCCTGGTGAAATGTGACACAATTTAATTAAACAGATGTTTCGAACCGAGATGGTCATGGTCTCTCAACCAATATGATAACAATGACACATAATGACACATCATGACACATCATGATACCAAACTATGTATATATATATGTATGTATATATATATATACGTATACACACATATACAAGACATGCAATAATACCTATGTACCAATTGTGAAGTCCTCAGCTTGATTTCCCCTGTCTTCCAAATATATATATATACATAAGATCTATAATATATCATGTATCACGTATAATGTATTGTATATTACAATGTATAATATATAATATATATATATACAATACATAATACATAATACATAATAGAGAATATAAAGTAATATGTTATATAGTATTTAATATAATTTAAATAATATATAATATACAATATATTATGTTTAATATATGATATAAAATATAAAATATACAACATATTATTTTTAATATATGATATATAATATATAGTATATAATATATAATATATAGTATATAATATATAGTATATAATATAAAATATATAGTATATAATATATAATATATAGTATATAATATATAATATATAGTATATAATACATAATATAGTATATAATATAATTTATAGTATATAATATATAATATATAGTGTATAATATATAATATATAGTATATAATATATAATATATAGTATAAAATATATAATATAGTATATAATATAATTTATAGTATATAATATATAATGAATATCATATAATATATAACATATAACATATAACATATAATATATAATATATACTATATAATATATAGTATAATATATAATATATGTTATATGATATATAACATTATATATATATATATACTCGAGACTCATTCACCATCCCAATTGATGATCCCATGTTCAACTCCAGCATACCTTTTTTTGCAGTTGTGTTTAAGGTGAGGGTTTTGTTGTTCTCATGGGTTTTCATAGACTACGTAGGGGAATCTACAACCAAGCTTTGTATGACATATCCTTTGATATTTTATGCGTATGTATAAATAAATATATATATATATATGTGTGTGTGTGTCTATGCAAAACATTGATATTAAACGTCTAATTGCATTTTTACACTTGCCTAAGATGGTACAAAAATCACCTTTTAAACTATGTTTTAAACATATTCTCCGTAATGTGCAGTGTTTCGAACCGTAAACAAAGAACCCAAAAATAACCCAACCCTAAATAAACTGTAAACAAACCCTGATCCAACCCTAAATCAACCATAACTAGTCCTAAAGAAACCCTAAAACAACCCTAAAACAACCCTAAAACATCCTAAATAGCACCAAACATTGACTAAACACACCCTAAATAAGCCCTAATACAACCTTAAATAAATCCTACACTAAACACAAAGTAACTGAACCCCCAATCAAACTTTGGGCGAACTTCTGCCCCGGAAGGATATAATACATCTATATCTCTATCAATCTATATGTCCGTATATCTCTCCATCTCTGTCCATAATCTGTTTTTTAATTCCAATCTTATCTAGCTTCATTTTGTCTAATCTTATCTCATCTATATACACTTATTTATAACTCATACATACATGTATATATTTATATCTATATCTATATCTATATCTATATATCTATATCTATACGTGTCTATCACAATATAACATATATCAACAGATCATACTTGCAGGCACAGATGTTTTTTGGCCAGGCACAGACGGACATCAGCAAAGACATGTTGGGCACCCTGTCCTCCGTCCGCCGAGCTTCGCTGGACGATGGCCGGGCCTGGGCTCCCCGATGAGATGCGACCCACGAAGATGGGCCTGACATGTCCCAGTGTGATGCGATGAGAAAAGGCGCCGGAAAAATGATGTTTTAATGAGTTTGAATGGACATTTCATGGGGTTCAAATGGATTTTACCGAGTAAGAATCTGGTTTTGGGTTATTTTTACCATTAACCATCTCCTGTCAGGGTGGTTGGTTGAATCCCCAAGTAAAAAATGCTATATCGTTAGATGGTTTCAACATGTTTCAAATGTGATTTGTTCTCTTACCTGTACCAACAGATGGGGGATGGGTGCTGCAATGTAGAGTGAATTTCTTAGCATTTCTCATCATTTCTGATGATTTGAGAAGCATAAGCCAGTCAATGTTGGTACTTGAATTTGCAAAACTCATAGCTTTCGTGCTAACTCATGCGAGTCTCGAGCAGATTTCATCTGATCAGTGTTTTGTGCACTTGCCGCCCTTGGGCTGTTGCGGTTCAAGACCTGATGGGGGGACAGCTGGCGGATCTTGAGCCAAGGAGCCGTCCAGTACGCCAACTTCTGTTGACTGGTGACTGCAATGCTTATATGACTTTTGTAGATCTTTGTAGGTTTTCGGAAGAGAACTACTAATTTGCAGCCCCCTGCTCACTGCTAGGACAGCTGACTCGGAGTGAGGCGCGGCATCAGCGCGGCGCAGTTGTGCCATGAATGTGAGACAACTTGATAGAAGTCTTAAGTCTTTGAATCTTTCACCCTCTCAGATCTATCAGTAGAATCTGTCACATTCAACTGGTGCATGAATTGAATGTTTGCAGCTACCAGCAGTGGCAAAGTGTTTGAATACCAATCTTGTGGGTGCCATCCGAGGTTGACCATCATGGTCAGACACTTAGCAGCGCAACCTTAGCAGCTGCAAATCTGCGCCGATCGAGCCGAGGCAGTTCCAGATGAAGAGGTCGAGGAAGTCTTCAAACTCTTCGACCAGGACAGGATCCAGCGAGGAGAGGCTTTTGGCAAATGGGGACTTTGAGATCATAATGACCATCCATAGCCATTCATATCCGGGAATATAATACAGGGTGAAAGTTAATGCTATGAAGCCAGGAAGGAGGCTGCAACCCTGCAGGATGGCTCTGGCATCAAGATCAAGGAGATCGGAACCGTTGGACGCCAAGAAATTCATATGGGCTTTGTCTTTGTGAAATGGTAGGGCGCTACCTACATCCAGTGGTTAACCATCACTACTTTGATTTATATAAATGATTACAAATGGTCAGTTTGGTGGGTATACCATGGTATATATACCCTATTTTCATAAACAGCCATATTTGCTTCATCTCTTCACGTGCTGCAATCATTGCGCTGGAAGTGGAAAATCCAGAAGCTAAAAATCAGCGGCCACAATGGAGACACCACGATTCCTTCCAGTCATCAAACTACAACTATATTGATCGTTTCACACAGACTCGCACACACTGCTCAAGGGAGTCACCACTGGAAACCTTCAAAATTATTGTGAGAACAAAACGCGTCCTTTTTACAGCATTTCATGTCAACCTCGGATTAATAACCCCCTGGGCCCCTGTGCTGTTTAAATTGGGGGCATTGGGGCGTGCGATTTTACCAGATTATCACAGATCACTATTTGAATTGGGGGGGCACCCCCAAAATAGCTATCCAGGGTACATCATGTACATCTTAATTTAATGTCGCACTCATATCATTCATATCTCATGATAGTATCTCATTCATATCCCATTCATATGAAAATACCCCAAGAACATCCCATTGGGGGGACAGAACACAGCCATCGGTGTCGAGCCGCCTGAGGTGATGCGAAGTCTGGGCCTGGCGGCCTCGGAAGCACAGCTGAGAGAGTTCAGGGCCGAGGCAGAGAAGAAGGACCTGACATGTCCAGCTTCCTACGAATGGAGGCTCCACAAACCAACCAATACTGTCGGTAGATGATAATAAACGATTATATACATATAAATATATATATACATATGATTATATATATATATACATATATCAGTAGTAGACCAAACTGGCCCTTCTTTTTTCCCCTAGCAGGATGTTGGTTGATGATGAAAATGGTGAAAGATGGGAAGAAGTACCTTGCAGATCCTCCAGTAGATTATAACTTAAATATGGAAAAACCCAAGAATTCCCACCATGAATGTGTAGATCATTTTCCCAACAGGAAACGCATGAGCTTCCGTGGCATTACAAATTGATATAGATTGTTGATATACAATATATATATATATAGAAAAAATAATCAGCAAATTGTGATTTGGTCATCCTATTTGATGCCTTTCTCTTATTGTGGAATATGCTGGCAGAAACTGGATCTAGTTTCTTTGGAGCCCCTTAGTAGGGTTATTTGATGTATAGACGATGACATTACCAACTATCTACCCCACCATACTTCCTAGTATAATTGTTACCATGAGAAGTGCCGGTATTTTCGTGGGTATTCTTATGATCATTGCACTTCAACTGGGAATCCCGCCATCAACCAATCCGCCGCCGCTGCACCGTTGCAGGACCAAACTTATGTGCAATTCCCAGACTTCCTTGGTTACGTGAAACGAATGGAGAAGGTTGAGGTGCCCTGCTGAATATGTGTGGGTCCTGTCCTGTCAATGGTTGTGTCGTAACCCCAAAATGGGTTATTTGTTCCCCTCCTGAAATGACATTTGCAATGGGAAATCATTTTTCGAGAGCGTCTGAGCGAAGGGTTCTTCTAATAGTGAAGTCTGTTATACATCTTCACATCTTCTCATTTTCATCTTCACATCTACACAGATCATCTTTCACACATCTACACAGATCATCTTTCACACATCTTCACACATCTTCTCTCTCTTTCTCTCTCTTTCTCTCTCTTTCTCTCTCTTTCTCTCTCTTTCTCTCTCTTTCTCTCTCTTTCTCTCTCTTTCTCTCTCTTTCTCTCTCTTTCTCTCTCTTTCTCTCTCTTTCTCTCTCTTTCTCTCTTCTTCACATCTTCTCATCTTCTCATCTTCTCATCTTCACATCTTCACATCTTCACATCTTCACATCTTCTCTCTCTCTCCCTCTCCCTCTCCCTCTCCCTCTCTCTCTCTCTCTTGCCCTCTTGCCCTCTTGCCCTCTTGCCCTCTTGCCCTCTTGCCCTCTTGCCCTCTTGCCCTCTTGCCCTCTTGCCCTCTTGCCCTCTTGCCCTCTGTCACGGTCTCTCTCCTTCTTTTTCTTTTCTCTCTTTAGGCCGCGGGCGGCGCCGACAAGGCGCCACGAAATGGCCACCCTTTCGCACGAAATGAGGTTTTTTTTCCGATCGTCAAAAACTGATGTAAAATTATTAATGTGATTTTGGCGCTTCCGCGGCAACCCTTTCGAACGAAATGAGGTTCGATCGTCAAAAACTGATGTAAAATTGTGATTTTGGCGCTTCCGCGGCAACCCTTCGCACGAAATGAGGTTCGATCGTCAAAAACTGATGTAAAATTGTGATTTTGGCGCTTCCGCGGCAACCCTTTCGCACGAAATGAGGCTCGAGCGTCAAAAACTGATGTAAAATTGTGATTTTGAAGTGTCCGCGGCAACCCTTTCGCACGAAATGAGGTTCGATCGTCAAAAACTGATGTAAAATTATTAATGTGATTTTGGCGCTTCCGCGGCAACCCTTTCGCACGAAATGAGGCTCGAGCGTGAAAAACTGATGTAAAATTGCGATTTTGAAGTGTCCGCGGCAACCCTTTCGAACGAAATGAGGTTCGATCGTCAAAAACTGATGTAAAATTGTGATTTTGGCGCTTCCGCGGCAACCCTTTCTCACGAAATGAGGTTCGATCATCAAAAACTGATGTAAAATTGGAAGCCTCGGTGGCAACCCTTTTGCACGAAATGAGGTTCGAGTGTGAAAAACTGATGGTTTTTTGCGACTTTGGTTGGTCCGGCGGAGTATCTGTGCGCAAAAGTGTTTGTGTGTAAAAGGGTTGTGTGTAAAAGCGTTTGTGTGTAAACGGGTCCGCGTAAAAGAGCGGCTGTGTGTAAAAGCATGTGTGTTTTGTAAAAGCATTTGTGTGTCAAAGTGTTTGTGTAAAAACGATTGTGTGTAAAAGAGTTTGTGTGTGAAAGGGACCGTGTGTAAAAGCGTCTGTGTGTAAAAACTTCTGTGTGTAAAAATTTCTGTGTGTAAACGCTTCTGTGTGTTGAAGCTTCTGTGCGTGTGAGTGTGTGTGTGTGTCTGTGTGTATATACGTGTAAACATGTTTCTCTGCCTGCGTATGTCTGTGTTTGAGAGCTTATCAGCACATCGGTATTTTTGTATTTTCTAACATCTTCTATGCAGCGTACCTTCTCTGTCTCTTGCAATTAAAAATCCTTACATCTTCACATCTTCTTATCTTGACATCCACACATAATGAACATATTCACAGGATCTCAAACAACATTCTCATGAACATATTTCTGTAAGGTTTTAAAACATCTGAACACCTATACACCTCGCTCTCGGGCCAACCGTCGTCTACATATTTTTACATGGGTTCCATGTCGCTTAGTTTTTGGAGAGATCCTAGAAACTGACTCACATCTCTGGTCCGATGTCTGAAATTCTGATCCGTCCTCCCGGAGTCCCCTGCGCTGCGGTTTCGCTGACTTATCAGGCCACAAAGTCTGTGGATGTGGCGAAGGAAATGGAAGGTATGAAGGCCATTACTTTTCTGGTGATCAAACGGGGCACAACCCCAAACTATGACATACTCTGAGGGAATTCGAGGATCCCGGAAATCCAACTTTGTAGGCTAGCACCTTGTGATACTATCACGCACACACACACACAGGTCGTAGCACAAAATCCGAACAGCCGAAGCTCCCCTTTTTTTGAACAGTATAACACCATGTAACACCCACATCTGTCATCATCAGGACCATGAATACTGACCCCTCCTGGGCACTGTCTTGTCGCAGATTGGCCTGCTGCACTTCTTCGACAAGGCACCGAAAGGGGTTGATGGTTTGACCCCTGATTTTCTGAGCTGGGAAAATATGGAAAAATTGGAAAATGCATGAAAATGCACTCCTGCTTTGACAACTGTTTTGTTGCAGATGACTTGAAAGTCAATAGCCCAAAATCACTCATATATATATAATTATATATATATAATGATGCATACATATGTATATTATATATATATTATACATATATATATACATATAATTATGTATAATCTATGTATATCTATGTAATTATTGGATTGAAGGCTTGCACATTTTTTGCCCCAAAGGGTGTGTCTGAACCTGGGTACACCCAAAAAAAGTCAATTGTCAAGGGGACAATGCTGGTAAACCTGTGACTTTACTGGCTTTTGAAACCCGTACCAGATAAACCACGGACATATTTCAAGCATACCTCTGGGGCATGTGATCCCTTCCCAGTGGCCAGTTGACGACGAAGCAGCTTCGAGAGAGCCCTTTGCCCACCATCAAGATTGCAGATCTGAAGCAACTTGGACGATGGATGGCCACCTTGATGTTAGGAAACATCACCGATTCGCCAAGAGGGCTGGGAAAATCAACTTTCCATATTCGTTGATGGCCATCTTGGGATACCTTGGGGCCATCTCCCCTAGTTTTTAGGATGTTTTAGGTTTTTTTTGGGGGGCTCTCCCCCTCTCTCTAAATATATACATACAATTACTCTCCCTCTCTCTAAATACATACAATTACATACACATATATACATACACTGTATATACACGTATAATTACAAGACATCATACTATATATATATATATATGTCAATATAAGACTTAAGACAGTTCCCCCAAAAAATGATGGGACGGACGGAGCCCAACTAGTGTTTCTCAGGTGCCATACAAGAGAGTTACCAATGTGTTGTTCATAGGATGTTCCCGTTGTTTGGCTCCCCTATTTGCAGCACAAGGGATAGCAGCCTTGCGCGCCTTGGGGCCCAAGGCATATCATGTCTTCGGTGGGTGAGAAGATGACCGAGGACCATGTAGCATGCCCTCCAGGGTTAGGGGTTGGCAGCAGTGAATCTCCCAGAATGGGTTACAGGGAGAATGTCTGCACCGGTTGCACCCCTTGGAGCTAAGAAACATGGTTTCAGGTTGAGACTTTCCTGTGGATTATCTAATCAGGATAAATTATTGAAATTTTATAAAGCCACATGAACATAATGTCTTCGGTGTTGTTTCACAAGATTAGAAAGGTAGACGTTGATTTGGTGAGAGTCGTGTCCAAATCCAAGCACTGCAGACCGCATCTTTTGGGCCCAGCTGAAATGCTGGCGTTGCCGGCAGCGTCATGAAGATCGCCAAGGAACACAGAATCAGCAGATTTCATGGCAATTTCAACATGATAAGAATGGGATTCTTGCCTCTTCCGGCCGCCCATGAATGTAAATCGGCATTGGACTTTATTGAACTTTAAGGTGAGTTTGTGTGAATGCATTGGCCCAATTGGTGGGATGGCATTGGCGCTTGAACCCAAACCCATGCCCTTGTGAGGCTTATATACGTGAACCAACCTTGAGTATTGGTGGACCCACAAAGGCAAAGCAATGTGGCATGGAAATGCATAGACAGACTTTGTTGGATCCAGAGTCAGGATCCACAAGTAATTGAACAATATCGAACAATCACACATCATGAAGCAAACGTCATCAAACTCAGCATCAAGAGTTCCCGGCCTGGGCGGGCCTGATGCAGACCAGGCGCTGTCTTTGTTGATCAAACTTTGAACATGTTGTTTGCTTTGTCCGAATCTGCTGGATTTTTCGCAGTTCTTCAAGCCGATTTAAGGACAACTAGTTGTTTTCACAGCCTCAACCTTCAATTTGTTGTTGGATTCGTCCCAAATTATTGGATTGCCCAGCCAATTTTCCAGCCATTTTATCAGGTTGCGCAGCTCAAAGTTCAGCTTTCTACTGACGATCTTTGCGCTGTGAAACTCTCAGAATCAGCTTCTTAAAGCCGGCCTGGGGAGCCTCCAAAATTTATCCACCGTGTTTTGTTTCAGTAAGGACACCATTAACCCCTTCTCGGGATTCCGCGAAGTGTTGTAATAGCTTTCCCCGTTGAAAACACAAATCAGCAAGTGAGTTCCTGGAAGTCATGGGCCAGCGCAACCTTTTGCTTGGAAGCCGTTCATCTCAATTCCAGGGTTCGTGCAAGGGCAGAAAAACAATGCCTAGATTTCCAGCGGCTCACAGTTAATTACACAGGGTTGTGCCCAGGTCTTGAAAAGACTCGGACCGCATGCAACAAGAAAATGAGTAAACCTCCCTGGTTCCTGCTTTCATTTTTCCTCCATCCACCCCTACCGCCACTTGGGGTGAGTGTGTCTCAGTTGGTCTACCAGAGTGTACCATGTGTTCTCCATGGGTTGGAACCACCAACTAGTTCCCCACTGAAATATAGCCCAGCACGCTGTGACAGCTTACCAAGCAGCAGCACACAGACATGTTTTTGCTCGCGGCCTGGTAGCGAGATGCAGCCATTCGCTGTGCAATGCTGAACACTCCACCAGATTTCAAAGTTGCTGAAGTCCGGAATGATTGCGAGCTCGAAAGCTGCAGCAGCTGTGGTTATTGTGAACAGTACAAGCAACCGGAGCTTTGCGACGAGAAAGTGGATGGCCAGCAAGCTATCGTGGAGGTGGCCAAATTGGCTGTTGAGGTCAAGAAACTGGAAGCCACTGCCACCGTGGAGGTGGAACGTCTAAGGCAGCATGGGGTCACGGCCCGTGTACGCATCTCGGAGGAGAACAAGACCCAGCGCTCGGCGTGTGTGGCAGCGTTGGTGAAGCGGGTGGTAGAGGAGCACCACCAAACGGAGCGGGAGAAAATCGCGGCCACGGCAGAAACGCAACAGGCGAGCATAGCGGCGGAAGTGAAGAAGGCGGAGTTGGAGGCTCAAAGGCCTAAACCGGTTCCGGAATACTTCCTGCTGCTGTTGTTGTACTTTCAGCGGCATCGCCGAAAGATGGCGCGTGTCGGGGTATTTCTCTTGCTTCTCAAGGCATTTTGGACATTTTCGGGCTCGAATTCAAGTATTTCAGGACGCTGGAGCGAGCTTTGGCGAGGTATCATAAGACTGCTACAACGCCGGAACTTGCTTGGCGATGGTCTGTTCGTGGGTCAACAGCACAGGTGCAGGGCTTACTTTTCAAAGCATGCAGCGGCATCAGCTACTTATTGCATCTTATTGCCCTGGGATTCATTTTTTGCGGGACCCCAATGTTGTAATCCATCAACAACAATTGACCCATTTGAAATGCTGATTCATTGTCCATGATTCATCTCCAAATGAATAGCCACTAATGTACGATATAGACCCAATAGCAAACTTCCAGTTGGGGGTAAAATTTGAGAAGTTTACCATTCTATATGGATCTAAGGATTTATGTCTTGGCCCGCCCACATGTCAGGGTTGCCAATGCATCTGATCGTTTCGTCCAGGTTGCCCCTCGCACCTTTGCCACCCTTGCAGGATTCAGGTGTGCCTGTGTGTGTGTTCACACGAATTCTTGTGGGTTTGCGGATTGAACTAACAGGGTTTTTCCCCACAAGCAGTGTCATTGGTGTGGACCTGGGAGGAGAGACAGCGACTGCGTCAACTGGCTCCGATCTTGGGACACTGGACAAGGCAGGTTCGAGTCTGCACCACCCATAGCATTAGGCCCCCAGCCGCAGTTGTAGAGGGTCAAGTTTTGCACTTGGGGTTCAGAAAAAAAGCATAGCTCAGTTTGATTCAGTTTGCAGGTTTGGGCGGAGTTCATTTGGCTTGTTTGGCTTGGGCTTCAGAGAAAGAACCATGACACAACTCTGCTTGCAGGAGCTTGAACATCAAGGCCTTTCGGAGTACAACCAGGTGCTTCGGGACACCGGCTACGACGCGGCTTGCTGCAAATGCTGCGATTTGTGGCGAGTGGCCCTTGTGGAACGTTTTGGGACAAGATGAGCAGTGGCCAAAACTCAGGCTAAACATGACAAAACTTGATTTTTTTCGACATGAGCGGTGGTATACCTGGTACATCCTGGTACTAGCTGGTTGATCTGGTTGATCTGGTACGATGGCACAGATGGGATGACCTGAGGATATGGGTGTCCTCAGAGAGCTTCGGGAGGAGGAAGAGGCGCCCAAACTGCCCAAACTACAGATTTCTGGCCAGTTGCAGCATGTTTTTGATGGTGTTTGGATGTTTTTTGTACTAAATGTTCCTGGTTCAGAATCCAGGAAAGGACAGCCAATACAAGAGAAACTTGACTCTTAAAAAAAGAAGATCTAGTATGGCTCAAACTTAGTGCATCCCAAAACAGCCAATGGTGACGATGGTAAGCCGATGTTTGTGGCTCCGAGGGGATACGAAGATCACCGGACGTCAGGTGGAGGAGATGTTTCGGGCCATCCAGTGCCGGTGAGGGACTCGGAATGGCGGTGGGTTCAGTACACATGATGATCATGATGATGTACTTGTATAGATATATAACGGCATATTAATATAATATTACATATATAATTATACATTATTGTACACCATATTGTATATAAACATACTATAGGCATCACATATTATGTATTATATATATATATATAGGTATAGCATGTTTTATATACAAATCAGATATACGTATCTATATATATATGCAATTATATGCACACATGACACATATGTATATATATATATATGTGTGTATGTATGTATATATATATATGGATACATATATATATATATATGTATATGTATATACATATACATATTGTTTACATCTACATATTGGTGGTTTCAAAATCTTGGACTTGATAAATTCCATATTACCCGCTTTCAATATATGGAGTATTTTGATGGGAACGGTCAAACTTCATCTATTTTATTTGAGGTGCAGTGTAAAGTGAGGATTTTGAACAGGAGTTTTCCCTACCTTAAGCAACCAAGGAAGTGGAAATTAACCCATTGAAAGACAAGCTGTTTTCCCAAAAAGAATAATCGAATTCTGCTTCCCGGTCTCAGGAGTGGGATTTTATTCACCCAATCTGGGTATGGGTCAAGATGTTCAAACCCAGCCTAGATTTTGGTGTTATTGTTAGTCTCCATCTTGTTCTGGGGATCTCTGGATATTTCTGGGGTACTTTCCCCAACTTGCCAAATTGCTAAAGTGAGAAGGGTCTAAAGATATCTAAAGATCTTTTGAACATTTTTGAACCACCTAAAAATTGAATAAACGACCTTGAACTCCGGCATGCTTCTTGACACTTGCCACACCATGCCGTGAGTAAACTCACCGAGTAAACGGGTGGAATCCACGAGGCCGGAACACCGTGACCTCTTCTTGAGACTCCTGAAGCGCGTCTAACTTTTGGAGCTTCTATTGAGATGGTCCATGATATCGTACCACACAGAAATTATATATATATACAGTATATATGTATATATATAATATGCATGATTGATAGTCAGTACATTGGCATGATTTTTGCAACCTCAATGTCCCAGCTGGAAGTCGTTTTTTTTCAGTGTTTCACTGCAGACATCCAGCAGCGGTTGTGCTGGCGGATGTGGATAACGTGCGCGCGAAAAAAAAGGCCTGATGATAGTACGACTGGTAGTGACTTAGTGAGGAGTTTGCTGGCTATGTTCAAAAAGCTCGTTCGGTGGGTTGAATTCAAATGAAAGAAACACAAGAAGGAAACAATGGTTTTTCTTGCAATCAGTTCCTGTCGAAGCCATTTTTGGCAATTTGTGACCCTGCATCAACCAGTAGACAGTGTGGCTAGCTCTTCCACCAAGGTGCGTGCGGCACCTGTCCACCTTTTCCTTTGGAGGTGGGGTGCTGGATTTGTGGATCATTTTGTGTAGGACCAGCTGGGATTGAAGGTGGAAGTCACAAAATCAGCATCGATAATCAGCTATACGATCTATAAGCATAAATCAGCTGTATGACAGTAAAATCATGCTTGACGATGGACTTCCTAGCCAGGTGCAGTGCATGGGCGAGGCTCTTTGGTGGCAAAAATTCCCTGGAGGCATCTCGTTGTGCCAGAAATAAAACAACTACATTGTTCATGTTTTTTTTGCCACAAGAAGGGGGGTTAACCAACCAACAAATGGATTCATGTATATAATTTGAATTAATTTGATCTAGTTTGACCATATTAACCATATTAACCAACATGGTGGATCTACCACGCAATCGCCAAAAAGGATCTGCACATTTGTGGTGTCACAGGCGGCTGCCGTGGCACACTTGGCACACCTTGCGCCGAAGCGCCAGTCGGAATGAGGATGGCATGGGCAACCAGACCGAGGACGCCGTTTGCTGTGAAGAGATCACCCACCTGACGCATCCCGTTTTGTGACATTTGGATAGAGTGAATTGGGGATTAGACACATTTGGAACCCCATCCTTGAGCTTGGTGAGTTTTAGCCCTGCAGCTGGTACATATTTCATGGGATTTCATGGCTACAGATATTCAGTCCAGGGGTCCAGGAGTTAGTAGAAACCATATTGAAGAAAAGGACCCGCCATGACCCGACCATGGCAAAAACATCGACCAGGGTGCCCCACGTTGCAGCCCGCAAGGATCTCCCAGGCTCTAAGGCACCGGGTGGTCGCTGATTGTGGATTCCCCAAAAGAAAACAGTGCATGGATTGTCAGAAACTGGATGGTATAGGAATCCACAAGTGATTTTATTCTAATCTGTCATCTGTGTTCTGTTTGCGACATGAAATTCACTCAAATTCTATCAGCATGTTTGTCCATGAACTTCTCATTGTTTTGCTGGTGCCATCTCCTTATTTGTGAAGCAACATCTCGCAGCATATGTCGCCAAGTATTGGATATCATGTGTTGACCAAACACAGATGTGTTTGTTGATTATTTTCCCTATCATTATTATCATTTATTATCATTGGCGATTGTCATTCGGATGATTCTGAGGGAACATCTGCAGGGTTGCAGCCTCCCGGAATAAGCCTTGCTTGACCCTTAATAAACTGAAGCGTTTAACCGACAACAACGGTGAAATGATGGGTTACCCTCAAGTAGACCAGAATGTCTGCTGGCTGAAAGATCTGCAGAAATCTGTTTTTCACGAGTAAATCCGTAAATCCTCTAGACAAAATGTGTATATATATAATTATATTATATATATATATACACACACGCATTGAACAATATAACAAGACAAAAAGTCCGGGTGGTTGAGACTTTGAATTGAGAGTGTTCATTCGTGGCTTGATCTGGATGCTCATTGCACGGAGGCGGCCATCTTGGCGTGGCTGGAAGACCGGGCAGCCACAGAGGAAGGACAGGAAATTGGTGCGGCTGCCCGGAGCAAAAACGGAGAAGCCATCAAGACTTGGGCTTCAAAAATATTGTATTAGCCCAGAAAATTTGGACATTTTGGAGCTTGAGCCATCAAAACTGGACATCAGTTTAATTATTTTAATTCATTCATACCATAAGATCATAAGATCATGATATGAACCAATTTGGGTGGCAATTCTTTAATCAACATTACAGCTGGTTGACCACGGAAAATTGGCGGCGGTCCCTGGTGGCCCTGGTCACCTCCGATGAAACTCAGAGGTGCAGGAAGGATCACCTTCAGGCGCCGCAGATTTGGATGATAAAACCCATTGTTTCGAGTATGGGAAGCCTCTCTTAAGCAACAATGGGTTTTATCATCCAAATCTGGGAAAGTAATTCATGGGAATCCAGATAATCCAGTGCTTCACATCTTTGGAGCTTCAATTGGTCGTGAAGCAACTACAACGGGAAGGTTCATGCCCAACCAACCAAGGAGAACGTCAACTGACAAAACTACGTATTCGTATTACATGTAACCAACGAACATGGTGAGATGAGTCTGCAATTGTTTGTACACGAACATGAACAATCTGGGATTTTTCACCAAGAGGGGGGGTTTATGCAGCAGAACAGAAGGCTCAGTCGTCATATTATAAATTTATGATATCTTATGATAAGACCCTAGAAATCTGAGACATTCGTTCATCTGCGGAGGGATTGGGGGAGCAAAACCTACTGCACCATTGGAGAGGAACATACCAGCTGTTTTGGTATTCACCCGGATATTCCATGGATGAATTGTTTTGACCCATAGCCAAGACTTGCATGCTGCAACTTTGGGACGCCCAGGGACGTTGCTCTTCTTAGCAAAGTCGTGGCTCGCTCGCATTTTGTGAGTACCAGGGACCAAGTCAGAACATCAATGGGGTATGGCTTATAAAGAGCCTCCGCCAGATGGATGGACCATCCAATTTTGGGACATTAGGTCAAGTGCACTCAATCTTGACTCATACTGTTACTTATTGAGTTTATTTGTTCGCCATGTTTACATCTGCCACGTTTCATACAGTCGCTATGAGGAAGAATCGAGCAGCAGCGGCAGAGGAGGCTCTGGCATTGGTAAAGACAATGCTTTCAGTGCGAAGCCCAAGTGAACAGTGTTCAGAACCCCTGTTGGTTGGTTGGGGATTATCATATTCCATCCTGGGAATAACCGGTATCACCCCGAGACCGTGCGCAGCAAGGGGATGACAGAGCGGTTTGAACACGCTAGGGTATGGTTCAACAGTGAGATTCCAGTAGACAGAGCAATTTGGTCATTTCATGCCATCTTTATTGTTGAAGGATTCCAATGTACACTTGTTTGATTGTTTTTTGGGGAGTCAATCACGTTGAGCCACAGCCATTTTGCCCCACAAAGAATACAGGTACTTCTATCACTGATCGCTTTCCAAACTCTTTGCGTTCACACATTTTTCATCATTTTTCATCTCATCAATGAACTCAGAATTGTGATTCTGCATGTCATGCCTCCATGTCATGCACCATCCAACTACAGATGCCGACAGAAGCCCTGACATAAGGCTGACAGTATGGACCTACAGAAGGCCGCTCAAAGTTGGGGCCTGGGGTTTGGTGGCTTTGGATCTTGCAAACTCCAGCGTTTTTTCACAGACCCGCAGCATGGCCCAGCATGGCTCCAGGCACAGATGGGGAGAAGTCCAAGGATTTAGAGCATCATGTTCCCTACTGAAACATACTAGAATATCTAGAATACTAGAATATCAAAAACACGTGTATATGTACTGTATATTAATATATATATTAATTATTATTTAAAAAATCACACATACATTCAAAATTTACTCGAACACACTAATATATGCATATAAAAATATACTAACAAATACCAAAGCACAGCACTAAAATACACAAATACACTGCAATTGCCATACCTTGGGAACCCTTAGGATATCTCTCATCGTTGCCATGTCCAACCTCGCGCATGAGTTTTGCGGCGTTTCCAGGGATGATCGTTCCCTGGAGCGGCTTCAGCAGAAAGTTTCTCCAATCTATGATGAATTGTGATGAATTATATATGATGAATTATGAGGATATGTGAGGTGATCATGTCATAATATGTCGTAATATGTCATACATGTGGGTTTCTTTTAAAATTGGTGATCCCCAAGTCACCATAGTTGCTTCAATACTAAAATGGTCCAATGACTTGGATGATTTTGGGTACCCACCATTTTAGATTTTTCAGAAAACCTCCATTTTTCTTCTGGATCAAGTGTTCCCTGCGACTGTATGACCATCAACGTTTCCTGTTTCCCCATCTAGCTCTGGTACACCGCAGCAAAAGTCCAACGTGCATACAGCAGCAGACATGACCCAGCGCACCTATCACGCACGTCTTCAAAAACACAGAAGACATCGTAAAGTATGTAAAAACACCAACCAACGGCTACAATTTACGAACATACATCTATGCACCATAATAATCCATAATACATATCCCATCATTTTCCCGTTTCGCATCTTCGGTGCAGCTCCGCCAGGCGTGGCCCTGTCGAAATGGACTCGTCTGCTGTCGGATGCCGCAAAGCGGTGTCGCTGGCAGACGGTTGGAAGCATCCTGGATGGACTCTATGCGCGGCTCGTCGACTCCGAATCGGGACAGTTTTGTTTGTATTTCTTGTGGTAAATGCCACAACATCCATGTTTTTTTTTGTGGTATAATAATGGTTGTTCATGGTTTTTCGGAGTCTTCCAGAAATGGAGTTTCAAATAGTTTCAACTATTTGCGGAGGTTCATGAATGGGTTTACCAGAGATTCAATGAGGTAAATACTCGTCGCGGGTTGGCATACCATTCCGAATATCCAGAGATATCCAGAGTAAAGTAGCATTTCATTGTGTGCAAGGCAGAGCAGCGCGCCTTTTGATCCTAAAAGAGCCTAGCAGTCAAGCTAGTTGAGTTGTGGTGCACACTGATAAGAACAGATACTTCACCTGTCCAGCATGTCACAGTCATGTACATGAACCCTTTTGCACTCCCCCCACGACTTCGTCGTGTATTAAAAAGGGAGGTTTCGTGCCTTGTTTTCGGAAGGCTCTTTACAGGGCTCAAGGCTCTAAAAGAAATTGGATTTGCCAGTGACGCCAGGTTGTTGTTAGGCCCCACTGGTCTTAAAGAGTGAAAAACTACAGTGCGTAAAGACTCGCACCTTTTGGAATCAACCTCGGCACGTAAAGACTCATGCCTCAGCTGACTTGTTGGCAGTAAAGACTCTGCCAAAGGAAAAATGCCCGGCTCTCAAAAGAGCATCTTTTCAAAATTGCGCTCCTCATGGATCATGCCGTAGAGCTCGACGTCACTGACTGGGCCGGTGAATCGGATCTCACTGTAAGCCTAATCTGCAGACGCTTCTCTCACCCTCGTTGCAGCCTTCGATGCCGTCATTGGCGGTCGTGGCACCGGTCGTAGACCCAAGTTCGCTGCAGCTTGAATGCCTTGTTCTGCACGAAGCTCGCCAGTCATCCGCAACATATGGGACAAAGTTGCCCTCTGACCTGCAGGCTCTTCCATCATCTGTTGTTGCGGTGGTCCTAAACTGCCACCTTGATCTCCACCATAACCTGCACGAACTTGCGGTCGCTGTTGCATCGGAGCAGCTATTGGTGATCGTACCTTTGGAGGTCCAGGCACATAGGTCTGAGTAGCCCTTGGCATTGCTTTGCCAGGAGGTGGACCTGTTGGCGGTGGTCCCGCCATCACATGAGGTGGTGGGCCCGCTGGTGGTGGTCCTGGCATTGCATGGTGCACAGGAACTGCTGGTGGCTTGGCCATGCGGTTCATCCAGTCCTGCATGTTCTGTTGCTGAAACCAAGCTTGAGGTGGCGGTTTCTTTCCAGGTTGAACCATCCCGTGCTCAAACGGAACCCCTGGGTCAGCCTCCTCCTCCGTGCTTTCTCTGGTCAGCCCATTCTTCGGCACAGCCACCACATTTCCTTGGAGCGCAAGCGAAGCGTCACCCCAGGAACCACTGGCCGGCGAAGCATCAAGCCCACCTGCGCGAAGTCCATCTCCACCTGCAAGCCATTGAGCACACCATATCTGTAGGTCTGCATGGATCCAACCCAACTGGTTTGATCCCACTGGACCCAACGTCCATACGTCAAAGGGATTGTTTGGCCCTGCATCAGCGCTGTCATCACCTGCTGTACATGCTGCGCTGGCGGTGCTGGTGCCATGCCAAAACTTGCCTTTGCCCGCATCTGTTGCCCCAAACTTCCTGGGACCATCGGCGCCATCTCATGCTCCGGGTCGTTGCGCACCACCCTTGAAGGGCGCGCATTTCCAACCTCTGTGTCCTGCTCCACATTGACCTCTTCTTCAACGTTCTCTGGCTCTGCGTTGACCTCTTCCTCAACATTCGCTGGGTCACCCGCAGTGGTCGAAGTGATTGCCACCTCGGTTGCTGTGGTAGCTACTGGTGGATCTGTAGCAGGTCCTTCGGCCCCACCATCATCACCTCCACCATCATCTCCATCGTCGCCCTCGTCCTCTTCAGGGATGACCTCCATGTCATTCTCAGAGGCCTCTTCCTCCGCAGTCTCGCTGCCATCTTCATGCAAACCATCTGCCACAGGCTCCAAGGCTTCACTGCCCTTTGCCTTGCCCTTCGCTGCGTAGTGGGCCTGCAGCTCGCCAGCGGTGGCCGGTTTGCCTTTTCCAAGTCGTGCGACAGAGGTGCGACTTCTGCTGCTGCTGCTGCCAGCTTGGCCTGGGGTGGTGCCGCTTTCCGTCATCTCCTGAACATCCGCAGCGTAGTCCACCGCTGCTGTAGCTGCCTCCACCGCCAGAGCCACCTCATTGGAGTCCTCGCTGGTGACATTCACCTGGTCGGCTGTGCGCAACGCCTGGACCGCCTTTGCATTGGCCGTCGCCAGGAGGATGCTTCTCCTCTGTGCAGCCGGCGTATCGCCACGCCCCATCAGCACCGGGGCTGCCTGCGCTGAACCTTTTCCTCCTTGGTCATGTGTGAAGAGCTGGCGGGGTCGACAGCCCTTGGCGAAGATCCTTTGCCAGGACAGGTTGGGACTGAGCACCCCATGGATGATCGTTGACCCATCCTTGCCCGTCTCCACATCCTGCTTGGTGCCTCTGCCACGTCCCCGAAACCAGTATCCAGGGGGTCGCGCCCAAGCCATTCTTTGCCTCTTGACGTCCAGGGTTGTGCATGTCCTGCGTGGACTTTCTTCTTCATCTTCATCTTCATCATCCGCTGGAGGATCCGGCCCATGGTCTCGTTCTGGTTCTCGTCGATTTCGACGATCTCGGCCAGGATCATCTCCATCTCCACCTGGTGGGGGCATAGCCATTGCACCGTGCTTGCCCTCCAACTGCACTTGCCTTTCAGTCTGTGGGGGCTGCTCCTCATCCACAGCCTCTGAAACCAACTCATAGCTCCCATCAGACTGCGTGTCATCCACCTGTTGCGCTGGTGGTCTTGGAGGTCGCTCTTGTGGTTCTGGTTCTCGAAGACGTGGATCATAGTTGCGGATCGGCACGTACTCAAACCCAAAGCGACTGCCCCTCATCACTCTTGTTCCCATTGCTGCTTGCCCACGTTGTTGAACTGGTCCAAGCTGTTGGGGTTCTGTTCCAGCCCAAATGGCCGAAGTTGTAGGGCTCAGCATTGCTACCCTACCACGTTCAGACACCTTGCCAGTGCCCTTTCCTTTCTGGTCAGGCTGACCATCCATCTGGCCTTGTTGGCCCTTGTAGTGGCCTCCTTGGCCCTTTCCATGGCCAGGCTGGCCATCATCTTGGCCATTGTGGCCTTTTCCTTTGGTTGCCCTCGACGCCGGCAGTGAAGAAGTTCCTGTTGCCGAACTCCCTGACGACCTCGCCGTGCTCTCCATGGCGTGTCGCCCGGCACCCAAAACCTCAGTTGGCGGCTCGAGCCCAAGGTCCTCAACAGAGAAGTCCTCAATCGGATCTCCTTCAAGTCCATGCCATTGCTCAGCACGACCAACCAAGTTGCAGTTGAAACCATGCCCATCCCCTTGGCGCCTCTTCGAAAGACCTTGTTGTTGACGTCTCTTCCCATGGCTGACTTTGAGCGCCCGAAGTTGCGGCCCGTGGCAGCCCGAAGGGCAGTTGTCAAGGTTTTGAGATGATCTTTGTGGGGAGGAAACTTGATCCCTTTGAGGATAGTACTCAGCACTAAGACTACGCTCCATGTTCGAAACCCTAAGGTTTCTTTTCCCCTCCACATCGATCATCCCTTTTGGGGAAGGTTTCATGGCCTCCTTTTGGCTCTTGTTGGGCGGTTCATTTTCCCTGCCCTCTTCTTGCATGGTGGGTTCATTTGGGGCCCTCACCATGGTTTTCATCAACCTACGGGGTGGTTCATCTTCCCTACCCTCATGTCTCAACGCCGGTTCATTTGGTGCCCTGACGTTGGCCTCTTCCATGTCAGTTGGTTCATTTTCCCTAACTGACCATGGTGGGGAAGGTTCATTTTCCCTTTCCCTCTTTTTCATCATCCAACATGCAGCAACGATGAGGCCCAGACCAGTTTCTTGACACTGAGAGTCATCCTGTCTCCATCAGCGTCTGGCCAGTTGAGAGAAGCCTCACTACTATCTCTTCCTCAGCTCTCAGCTCATCTTCTGCACGTCGTAGATCGTTGAGATCGTCCAGGTAGATGGAGTCCACAAAGTTGTCCATCTTTGGTCCTTGAAGCGGTTTCGTCGCTCCATCAGCTGGAAGCACCAAACCACTGACATGCCTCGCACACCATCGCGAGAGCTCATCTTGAAACGCTTCTCGAAGTCGAGCATACCTGATCCTCAGATGTCTTGTTCTCCAACTACCTGTGTCATTGGTGCACAAGTGAAGTGCACTTTTGGAATCGCAGTTGAGGGTCTTGTTGATGTCCCCAACGCCCATCACCTCCAGGAGTGCTGCAAGGCTTTCTCCACACTGGAAACCTTCTCCACAGCTCACCAGTTCGCTTTCGGCTGTTGAAGTGGTAACAAACGGCTGTCTGCCACTTGCCCATGCGATGGGAGAACCCCCAACACATAGTATCACCCCAGTCACCGACTTGTAGTTCTCATGCTCCAGGGCGTGCGAAGCATCCACAAACACCTCCAAGTTGTTGATCGACACCTGCGTGGCCAACTCATCATTGCGACCATACGGTTTTGGTGCTGAGGTCTTCATATAGTGCAAACCCTTTGAACTTGTCGCACTCAAATACCTCAGTAACTCATCTCCAAGCTTGACCACATGTCTTGCTCGTCGATGCGCAAGACGTGCCATGACACCAACATGATACACCATGTCAGGTCGCGTCCGGGTAACCAACCACTGCAGTTCCCCGATGACTTGTTGAGCTTGACGAAGATCTCCTGTTTGCACCTCCTCAGTGTCGTCTTCGCCCAAGTTGGCAAACAAGTTCTTGACTGGTGCCATACCAGCCTCCATGCCATGTCGTTTCAGGACGTCCTTGAGGTATCCACATTGATGTAGAAAGAACCCGTCCTTGACCTTGGCAATCTCATATCCACAAAACTTCATTTGGTGGTCTTCAGTGACCATTTCTGGTGGGCTGCATGTCCACCTCCTCTGTACAGCTT